ATAACTTCACCGAAACTTGTTATTTTGTGCTGAAAAAGACACTAATAATAAGCTAAAATCTCAAATAAACTACCAGATTAATTCAAATACAGTATTGCTCCTTCTTAATCCACCTATTTAACCTTCTTTAAGGTCCCTTAAATTTCAACTCCACAGGGTAAATGCTGACATAAGCCACACGTCAAAATTCCCGTTGCCAAAAAGTCGTTTGAATCTAGATCTTCGAATTCTCTCATATGTAACAAATTTGACACAGATTTGCTACAATTTATATTTCCAAAGTTTAGTGTCATAATTATTTTCACTAGTTTATTATCGTTTATTGTGGATCGAAAAAAAGCAACATTTGAGAAGATTTAAAAAGTTTCAAAGTTTTCGTTATGTATAGAAATGGTAATGGTAATGGTATACCCAATGGTTCTTCAAATCAAAGACACGAACCTAGTGCTGTGAATAATTCTTCAAATAACGCTCAGTTTTATAATAACGGTGCTGCTACTGGTTATCCTGCTCCTCAGAATCAAAATCCTGTTCAAAGACCTCCACAACAATCCTCAAAACAAACTGTTATTCCTCCATATCCAACAGTTCCATATCCGGGATTTATTGATTATCATACAACAAATTTAAGTACAGGGTCCTTAACTCATATAAATCAAAGAGCAGATTCTTCAGTCCCACAAATTGCAAGTTCAATGAAAAATTCAACAACTGTTTCTTCATTTGCAAGTTTTGAAAGTATACCAAAAGCTCCAAATAGACAACCTTCATTACCTCCAAAAATTCCATTAGATCAATCTGATTATATTAGAAATAATTCAATACAAAGTTCTTATAGTATAGAATCAAATTCGACTTATAATTCAAGTCATACTTCAAGTTCAAATAAATATAATACAGAACCAGAAACTATAAGATCATTTGAAGAAGAACAAGATAATATGCCACCACCACCTTCATATGATGATGTGACTCAAAGTCCAAACCCAAATAATTATCCAAATGAGAAACAATCACAACCACAGACTTCATCTAAACCAAAATTGAAAATGTCTCAACAATTGGATAGATTAAGTGATGAATTACAACAATTTCAAGTTGATGGTGGGTTAATTACAAGTCCTTCAAGAGTTCATGCTCCAGAAACTTTATCTTCACCAGTTGATAAAGTTGAACAACATCAAGCCATGAGAAGAAAAGCACCACCTCAAGAACCAATAATTAAAAATCAAGGACCTGCACAAATTCAATCACCACCAAGAAACCTCCCACAACAACAAAATATTCCCCAAGAATCTCTAAATTCAAATATACCCACATATTCTGATGAAATATCACCAATAAATTTCAACAAGATTAAAGATTATGCAATTGCAGATTTTAAAAATGGGAATTTTACAGCTTTACCTCAATTAAATTGGATTAAAACTATGTTTCAATATTCATCAGATTCAGAATTTATGAGAGAATATAATATAAATGGTGAAAGATTAACAAGACCATTATCACCAAATGAAGTTAAAAAAAATGAACAAATTTTTGTTAAACAAGCTGTTAAATTATTGAAAAAAGTTGTTCATGTAACAAAAGACCCTGAAGCTCAATATATCACGGCATGTCTTTATTCAAATAGTCCAAGTATTAAAGTTCCATATCCAACTATTTTAGATAAAAATTTTGATAAATCATTTGAATATTATCTAAAATCTGCTAATCAAGGTCATGAAAAAGCCATGTATAGATTAGGTGTTACATATGAGATTGGTCTTGGTACTCAACAAAATGATTCTAAAGCTTTGGAATGTTTTATAAGAAGTGCAGAATTTGGTTCAGTTTCTTCAATGTTTAAATTAGGTATGATTTATTCAAGAGGTGCATTAAATAGTGAAAGATCAGCTTCAAGATCTTTATATTGGTTAAATAGAGCTGCAGAATTAGCAACTTTAGAAAATCCTCATTCATTATTTGAATTAGCTAAATATTATGAATATGATTTCACTTTTTTAAAAAATGAAACTTTAACACAATCAGATGCAAAATTTCTTAAAGAATTACAAACTTTAAATATTAATAAAGATGAACGTGTTGCATTACAATATTATAAAGAAGCTGCTAAATTGACCTATGCCCCTGCTCAATGTAAATTAGGTTGGTGTTATGAATATGGTAAATTAGGTTGTACAATAGATCCAAGAAGATCAATAGGTTGGTATTCAAGAGCTGCAAAGCAAGGTTCATTTGCAGCTGAAATGGCATTAAGTGGATGGTATTTAACAGGTGCTAAAGGAATATTGGAACCAAATGATAAAGAAGCTTTCCTTTGGGCAAGAAAATCTGCTGAAAGTGGATTTGATAAAGCTGAATATGCTTTAGGTTATTATTATGAAGTTGGATTAGGTGTTCAAGCTGATCCTGAATTATCAAGAAAGTTTTATTTGAAAGCTGCAACTCAAGGTCATGATAAGGCCATTGCAAAGCTTAGAGAAGGAAGAAGTAGAGGACATTAGATACAAGTTTCAATTATGTGTGTTTTTATTGTTTTTTTAGATTAGTTTTCAGTTTTTGTTTGATTTTTATCTGTGTGTGTGTATGTTTTTTTAGATGAGTTATGATTAGAAGACTATATGTACTATTTTGTTTTATTATTAGAGAAGGGGGACAATTTATCTTTTTTTAGAAAAAGATGTATAAGTAAATAAATAATAATTTAATTGTTAGAATTGATAGTTGTAGCTGAGAAAATGTTTTTTAATAAAGAGTAAACTAAAATCTTTTGATATATAATCACAACGTTATATCAATGCTTAGCAAGATTCGATTGGCTTTGATGATACTAAGTATGCCATCTGTGTAACCGTTTTTTTATGGTATAATCTTGTTTAAAAAGAAATTTACTAATATTACTGATGAATTGAGTATAGCTTGTGTACACTCGACTACCATTAATCATTGATTTGTTAATTCATTCTTAAATTTGTTGAAAGCTATCATGGATTGTCAATTGTCTTTGATTAAGTATAATCATATTGTTCGTATGAAGCTCTACAATATCAACGACATTTGATTGGAATACATAATTTAACTTGTTTTCTTATAGTTATAGTCCTGATCATCGGGTCATCATTTGTAAAACCACAGAAATCAAAAGATGAACTACAAATCATAATAAAAGAGTATAGTACCAACAAATCATAAAGATCAAAGTGATCCAAATCAAATGAGGGAATCATAGGAGACTCTCTTTTCTATACAAACTCCATTGAAGATGTATCTTTTAGTTTCCAATTTTTATAACAACTTTTTATATTTATAATTATTATATATCGATTTCAATAAATATTATGTATACGAAAAAAAAAAGTGGTTCCTTATGGTGTAATTTTAATCCGAATTCATCGATCGCGAATTTTCTCTGGTATTAAATATAAGAGATGCAAGAATGCAAATCTTGCTCCACGGAATAAACTTATTAGCATTAACGTCTGAAGCAAAAGGTTTAAGACAAAGATCTTGCAATATCTTTTTATACTACATTTCTGTCTCTCCAACACCGTTGTCTATGTGGTAGTTGTTAAAAGTTCTTATTATTACGTCTCTTGAGAAGTTTATTCCAACAAAAGAAGACCAAATGAATTGGTGATAAACTGGGTGACATTTGTTTATATTTAATCTTGTACAAATTTAAGAATCAAATCTGTTAAGAATATAGATCAATCACTCAGCTCATTATGTATAATCATATTGTCTGTATGAAGTTTAACAATATCTTCGACATTTGATTGAAACACATAATTTTGTTTGTTTTCAGATTATAGTTGATGTAGTTTTACATGTTATAGACAAAGGTATGATAATTAACTAGATAACTATATTGATTGGCTATGAGATATGATTTATGGAGAGCGCTTAGGAATTTTAAATTATAATTTAGAGATCAAATTGGAATATAGCTGACAAAGTAATCTTCCAGAACAACATAGATTTGTGGGATTTTGGATTGATTTGGTAAATTTAGTTAGTTTTGTGTCACAATCATGCAGATCAACTTTCAAATGTCATACTTAAACAAATGAACCAAAAATAGAATTAGTTCTAATTATAACCCTTTTTTATGGAGTTTGTGACGTACATTCATGCTTTTTGTGGTTTTTGTGCTTTGTGCTTTGTGTTTTGTGACGTTTTGTGGTTTTTAGTTTTGTGTTTTAAAATTGGGAAAAAGTATAAAGTCGTCATTTTCCCTTTTTCCTTTATACTTTCTTGTTTCCTTTCTTTCTCCATTTCAATCTCAATCATTGATTTTTCATTACTATTATGGATGGTGGTCCAGGGTCCAGGGGTTTAATCTCTGCTATATCTATAGCTCCGGGGATTACCTGATATCATTTGTTTTCACGTTGTTCAACTACTTTGCTATCACTTTGTTTTCTCTGGGATGGGAAATTATATTATTCAAAAGAATTTCGTTACCATGCATTGGAGCTCTTGATGTATGACCATACTGAGTGATTTGGGTGTGCCGGCCTTTTTTATGACGTGTGTGTTGTTGATTCATGAAGTCTTCTTTCAGGTTCGAATTACATATTTTGGTAAGTTTATCCCAGATGAACTTCTGTTACGTGGTTAAGGTTGGAATTATATTATTCAAAGAAATTTCGTTACCATGCACTGGAGCTCTTGATGTATGACCATACTGAGTGATTTGGATGTGCCGGTCCTTTTTATGATGTGTGTGTTGTTGATTCATGAAGTTTTCTTTCGGGTTCGAATTACATATTTTTGGTAAGTTTATTCCAGTTGAATTTCTGTTACGTGTTTATTGCAATTCAAGATATAAATCTCAATGATCTCATTAGTCTTATGGATTGTTCTCCAAGGCCCAGGGGTTTAATCTCTGCTATATATTTATAGCTCCGGGGATTACCTGTTATCATTTGTTTTCACGTTGTTCAATTACTTTGTTAGCATTTTGTTTTCTCTGGGATACGGAACTATATTGTTCAAAGAAATTTCGTTACCATGTACTGGAGCTCTTGATGTATGACCATACTGAGTGATTTGGGTGTGCCGGCTCTTTTTATGACGTGTGTGTTGTTGATTCAGGAAGTTTTCTTTCAGGTTCGAATTACATACTTTGACAAGTCGTGTGGGATTCCAGGTGAAGTTTTGTTAGATTTTCATGATTTAATTTTATTGGTGCAATTGGAAGATATTCAATGTGCACATTGTTTTATTAATGAATGATCATACTAAATAAATTGGATGCCGGTCTTTTTTATTAAATGTTTGCACCATTCACTATAAAGTCTTTAAATGAGGTATGTATTATTTTGACTGGTCCTGTGGGATCTTCCGGTTGATTTTTTGTTACATGTTAATGATTTAGTTTTGCTGGCGCAATTCAATATTTGTTCATTGATAAACGACCATACTTAGTGATTTGGGAGTGCCGGCCCTTTTCATGAAATGTGTGTGTTGTTGATTCATAAATCAATCATAAATCAAGTTTAAATTACATATTTTGACAAAACTTGTGGGATTCAGTTGAATTCCTGTAATGTGTTTATGATATATCACGTTTGTTTGTGCCATTCAAGTTATCTATCTCCCATGTGTTCATGAACTATTGATAGATGATCATACTTGAGTAATTTGGGAGTGATGGCCCTTTTTATGACATGTATGTGTATTACTGATTCATGAAGTCTTCAAATCAGGTTTGAATTACACATTTTGGAATTCCAGTTGAAGTATTGCTACATGTTTGTTATTTAATTTTGCTGGTGCAATTCAAGATATCTATACATTGTTTATTGATAAATGACCATACTAAGTGATTAGGGAGGGATGGCTTTTCTCATGAAATGTATGCGTTGTGAAATAATGTGGTTTTCAAATAAAGTTTGAATCACATATTTGGCATACTATTATTGCTCAAGACTCATCATAACAAGTAATAATTTAGTGATAATTTATTGTTGGTGCTGTTGGAATCCAGAGAGGATTTACGGGCTTAATTGTGAATTCTACAGACGTCACAACAAGGCGTTACCTAGACAGACAAGTCATATCTGTCTATATTCCCATTTCATACCTATAGGATTGGTCAACTTTATAAAATTATTGTCAGCTTCACTTGGCTGTCACAAATCAACGCCAACGGATCTAAATATTAACTTTGTGATTCCACACAAATCGTAGTGGAATCCAAGATACATGAATAATATTGATGCTTTTATTTTATCATATGACCAATGATGGTTGCTTGATAAAATATCTTGAAAGACCTTTCCAGTCAGGCTCTTATTAAACATTCATTTCATGTGGACCGTATATTTGAGTCGTTGATGATAGTTCCACAGTCTGTGATGGCTAGTGTTATTATATGCAAATATGAATTGTTCAATTTTATCATGAATATATTATATTCTAATGATAGCGCTCAGGCCACTGATTCTCGTTCTATTTCAGTTGAAAGGATTTTTTTTTTAATCCTATCGAATTGATTGATCCTTCAATCTTTTTTAATGATTGAAAATTTTGTATATTTATTTATAATATATGGGAGAAAGCATCGTAGAAGTCATTGGATTCGAATTATTATTAGATTCTTATCAATAACAGACATATGAGCGTCTTCATTATACAATTATACATCAGTAGAGCTTATATATAATTCAAAATTTTTGCCTAAACCTCGTCGATATGACCTTTAATTTCCATTAATTGAACCTAAGATTGAATAAACTAAGACTATCAGAATACAATAGTAACGTTGAGACAATCGTGGTAATTTCATCTGTACAGAAACTTGTAACATATTCAAATGTTATTGATCACTATAGTTATGTTCGTTTTGATGAATCGTGCCTATAACATTTTAAAAAATTTATTATACCGAGATGAGCTTTGATCAAATACTTACATTAAGAAATATTTCGATCTAAAGACTCATAAAATTACAAACAATGTCAACAGTTTCAAACACAGTGGATAGAGTTCTTGGTGGATTATATATCGGATCATACTTAGCATTAGATACGTTAGGTGATTCTCAACTGAAAGAAAACCATATTTCTCATATAATATCGGTATTTCAAGGTGAATTACCAGAAAAATATCAATCAGATTTTACAACAAAGAGTATTCCAATAGATGATGACGAATTCACAAACATAATACAATATTTTGATGAAACAAATCAATTTTTAAACCATGCTTTATTCCCAGATGAAGGTGATTCTATACAACGAGGTATTAAAAAAGCTCATAAAACTTGTGCTTTAATAATGTGTCAAGCCGGAGTTTCAAGATCATCAACTATATTAGCTGCTTATTTGATGAAGAAGTATAATTTGAATCCAGATCAAGCTATTCATGCTATAAAGAGGAAAAGATCGATTGTACAACCAAATGAAAATTTTAAAGAACAATTAGATCTTTATTATGAATTAGATTGTGAATTAGATCAAACAAGTCCAATTTATAGACAATGGGAATTACAACATTCTTTGAAATCAGATCCAACAGGTCAATCAATCCTTTCCAAAGATTCAACTTTTGTGGAAGAAGATGAATCAACTGCACAATTAAAAACAGATCAAGATTTAAAACAATTAAGATGTAAACGTTGCAGACAAAAATTAGCATTATCAACATCATTCGTTGATCATATACCACCATCTGAAGATTCTAAACAAGCACAATTTGTTAGAAAAGCTCCAAATTTAAGAAGAATAATCAGTGCTCAAGCTGCATCAAATACTTGTTCACATTATTTTGTTGAACCTTTAAATTGGATGAAAGAGGAATTACAAGGTAAACAAGAATTAGAAGGGAAATTCCAATGTCCAAAATGTGAAACTAAAGTTGGTGGTTATAGCTGGAAAGGATCTAGATGTAGTTGTGGGAAATGGATGGTTCCTGCAATTCATTTACAAAGAGCTAAAGTTGATGAAATTAAACTTAAATAAAGTAGCGTTCGTTAAAAATTCATTAGATTAATATATAGAAACAATATATTTTATTATGATTATTCATCATCAATAACCATATCCAGATCACTCTCATTAACTGAAACATCACCTGGATGTGTACTTGTAGTTGTATCATTAAATGTATCATGTTGAATATTTGAATGTGAAAAATTTGAAGAAATTGAAACATTTCCTCTATTTATATTATTATCATTAATGAAACTTGAATTTGCATTACCACTGTTTTCATTTGCAGTATTATTACCACCATTTGTATTTGAAGTACTTGTTGAATTTGGTGTTTGGAAATCATGTCTCATAAATCTTTGATAACGTTCTTCAATTCTTGGTGTATCAACAGTTCTAATTTCTTCTTCTGCAGAGTCAACTTCTTGATATTCTTCAGAAACCATGAATCCTTCATCGTATTGACGTTCAAATGCTGAGTCTCCTTCATACATTACATCTCTATCTTCAGGTTCATCGGCTTCATCATAAATATGATCATATGAATTTTCTTCAGCTTCTGGAATATCATCATCTAAATTAACTTCTTCAGTAGGTTGTGTATCTTCGTTTTGTTGATCACCTTGTTGTTGTTGTTCTCCTCCTGACTCACCTCTGATTTCTTCCTCTTCCTCTATGACATTATTACCAGGCTGTTGTTGTTGCTGTTGTTGTTGCTCTTCTTGCTCAAGTTCATCTATTGCAATTACATCTTCTTCTTCTTCAACAGCTTCACCTTCACCCATCAAATTCTCAGCAGTTGGAACTTCAGATCTATGTTGTTCTTCCATTTGTCTTCTCATCTCACGTTCCTCATCTATGGCTTTTTGAGTTCTATCAATACCAATTGGTGCTAAATAATCATGTCCTAAACTTCTCAATGATCTTAAAGCATCCATCCGTACTTCTATATCAAACATCGGATCATTGATATCTAAAGAGTTAGCGCCCTGAGAGTACATAGTCCCCGGTCTATCAGAAGAATAAGCTGATAATGGTGGTGCAAAATGTGGTCTTCTTCTATGTGTCTGATCATCATTTAAGAATGGATTTCTGAGCTGATTATTTCTCTGGCCTTCTTTCTTCTTGATGGCTTGACCGTCCTTTTGGATCCAGAGATGGTGGATATCCCGCGGTATCAACGATGGCATGTACATTGTTCCCTTTGTCTTTGTCTTTGCCTTTGTGTTAGCCTTTGTGTTAGTCTTGTTGATGTTGATGTTTTGATTTCAATTGTTTATGTTTTGTTAGGATACCCGCGAAATGACTACATACATACTAAATCTAAATTATATGTTTTATTCGAGATATATACAGGAATATTAGGACAACTATTTGACTATAAATAAATGTTTTTCTTTTCTTTCAATTGATATCTTTTCTATGGCTTTAATGTAGATTCTGATTTACCAAATATCCAATCCCAACGTCCCTTCTTATGTAACATGGCAAGAACTAATACACCAGGTAAATGCCATACTGAACCCCAAAATGCCTTTTTAGCATACATATTTGCTAATTTCATGCCTTGAGGATCTGGCGTTCCACCATTTTTATAATTTAATCTTTGTTGATACCAAAATTTAAATGACCAATAAGATAACCAACCATTTAAAATTGCAGAATCAATTGGGAAAACCCAATCTGTAACATCATAATAACTTAAAAAGAAACAAAGTGGGAACATTAATAATGCATAACGGAATCCAACACGAGCATTTAATCTTGGATTTGTGAAACATGTCATAACATATCCAGCATTTCTATATTCATTTCTAATATTATGACTTAAAGCATTAAAATGTGGGAATTGCCATGCATAAAGTAAAGCTGCAAGACACCAAGCACCCGGATGTGTTAATGGAGAACTAGCAGCCCAACCCATTAATGGTGGGATAGCACCAACAATAGCACCGACCCATGTATTCAAGATTGAACGTCTTTTCAATGAGGTATAAATCCATGAATATAATACAATGTTTAAACCACTAAGAACTGCAACTGTTGGATTAACTCCCAAATATAAGATTGAAACACCTAAAGTACCAGTCACAGCAGCAAATTTATAAGCTTGATCTGGTGTAACTAATCCTCTAACAACTGGTCTTGCCAATGTTCTAACCATTAATCTATCGAAATTTGGTTCACGACCCATATTTATAGCATTTGCAGAAGCTGATGATAAACATGTACCTATTGTTAAAAACATTAATTCTGGAACTGTAGCACTGAATGGCGTTAAAGCATATGAACAAATTGCTGATAATGTAACTAATGCAGTTAATCTTGGTTTGGAAAGTGCAACGTATGGATCTATGATTTTAGCTAATGATTTCTCTTTTGTAGTTTCATCTTTAATGATATCTGTATCTGTTGATGATTCTTTTGCTATTTTTTGTTTAACTTCAAATGGAATATGTGAAGTTTTCAAAGTTGATGGATCTGATGAAGTTGATGTTGAGGTTGAAGATGTTATTGATGGTGATGAATCTGATGTATCTGATGTACAACTTAATGCTTTTGTAATCTTATCATTAAAAGTTGGTGGTGTAAGATTTGAAATGAATTCTATAGGTGAAGTATCTAAAGAAGATGATGATTCTTGAGAAGCTGCAGACGTGGATTGTGTAGAATATTTATATTTTTGTGAAATTTGTTGTTTTTTAATAAGATTAATTAAATTATGACTTATTGGATATAACTGATTCCTTATAGCTGACGACGTGTTCAAGATTAGACCTGAACGGAGAACAATCATATTAGCAGCATCAACTGGTCTTCAGCAACGTATTCTCAGCAATGGGTATCTCTTTGAAAGGCGTTGAACTGGACTTTTAGAGTATTCTAAATGCTGTTTATATTACGGGCTCTGGCAGTATTTTGTAATTTTGACGTTTTCATTTTTCTTAATGGTTGAATTTTTTTTTTTGGCTTTCTTCCGAACTAGGAAATTTTGATCTTTTAGTAAGTGGAAATGTGGGAATTGACTGATAAATATGATATTTGTTAGTTAACATATTGATATTATTGTACTAATGTGTTAATTGGTTCATGTTTGTTATATAGGGTGGTTTTCAGAATTATTCGAGTTGTTTTGGCTGGTTTTTTCACGGATAAATGAAGAATTTGCTCGTTATCGGTATTAAAGAGATTAGATATTCTACATCATTTAATTAATAATTTCAATATATAACATACATTTCATTAGTTTATCAAAACAATCTAATTTTCCACTTTAGTTTCTGGTTGTTCTTCAGTTGGTTTATTTTTGGCTTCTAATTTAGCTAATGCTTCGTTTTGTTCTTTTTCTTCTAATTTCTTATTTTCAATTTTATTTTCAATTAAATCATGGAATGCAATAATTGATCTAACTAAACTACTAATATATGTAACCATTAACTCATCATTTGTCTTGACTGTGAATGCAGTAGCTAATGGGTTCTTAGAGTTGGCAACATTATCAACATCTTCTTCATTTAATTCATCAATACCTGATAAATTTGGTAATAAATTGAAAACATCTTGTAATTTTCCTAAAATTGTATTATTAACTGGTAATGAACCTGATGAAACTTTTTCTAAATAATTAACAATATCTCTTAATTTTAATTGTAAACCTTGTAAAGATTTTAATTGATTTGTTATCTTAATTGATAAAGAACCTGCAGCTTGATCTCTAATATCTCTTAATAAATGTTCAACACCTATTTCTTCAGCTTCTTCAGCTTCAATGATGGATGGAATATGATTAAAAGTCTTTTCAGTACTTGTACCATCATCTTTAACTTCTTCAATAGCTATATATGCATCTGTTGGAATACCAACTCCATTTTGTTTAACATCAACAATTAATAAAGTTGGATTTGGTGTATATTTTTTGAAAACTTCATTAATTTTCAAATCTGAAGCTTTTAATTTTGGACCTGAATGATACCATCCGATTAATCTTTCTTTAGCATTAATTTTTTTAAACATTTCATTCATAGATTCAATATAATTATGATCCAAAAACCAAACTTCAGGATTTTTTTCATCTTCTTCAAAAGGTATAGCAAAACTATTAGAAATTCTAATGGTATCTGTAGAGTTATCACCCAATATCACACCAACAACTCTCTTCTTGGTGTCTTTGGCAATTCTATTGTAATGATCAACGGCCGATAGTAAGACTAAAGGTGCCACTGAAACTTGTTTTTGTAGTAATTTTTCGTCAACTAAAGGCATGGTGGCGAACTGATCTGATATGTGATTATTTTTAAAGAAGACTCAAAAAAGCAGAATTTGATGATTCAATATAGGGGGTAAAACAATGGTTTAGAACACGAATTAAGCACTCAATTGACTTGAAACCAACAAATAAATCCAGTTTCTTCTTTTTCTTTCCAAAATCTTGTTTCGTTGTGTTTCTTGTTGATTTCTAAATTCGTGAAGGAATTCGACAAAAATCTCAAAAACTTTAGTGACACGATTTCGTGACAGACTGGTATAGAAAAAAATTGCAAAATGGCGTATACCATTTGTAATATTTTGAGATAGTTTCAACTTGGGAAAACAACTACTTTAAAGTTGAGGAAATAGAGTCAAGAGAAGTAATATGCCATTTGGTCAGATTGTTATAGGGCCTCCAGGTTCAGGGAAATCCACATATTGTGATGGTGTTGTACAATTTTTCAATGCCATCGGAAGAAAATCAGCAGTTATAAATCTAGATCCTGCTAATGATAGACTATCTTATGATTGTGAATTAGATATCAGAGATTTCATCACACTAGAGGATATTATGGAAGAGGAAAACTTAGGTCCGAATGGGGGATTAATGTATGCTTTAGAATCACTTGATGATTCATTAGATTTACTTATAAAGAAAATAACAAAAATTTCACAACAATCATATATTTTATTTGATTGTCCTGGTCAAGTTGAATTATTTACTCATCATTCATCATTACAAAAAATTTTCAAAGCTTTAGAGAAACAATTAGATATGAGATTTTGCGTTGTTAGTTTAATTGATTCTTATTATTTAACAAGTCCTGCACAATATATTTCAGTTTTATTACTTGCCCTACGATCAATGTTACAATTAGATTTACCTCATGTGAATGTTTTCAGTAAGATTGATTTAGTATCAAATTATGGTGAATTACCATTTAGTCTAGATTATTATACAGAAGTTCAAGATTTATCATATTTAAAACCACATATTGAACAAGAATCAAATTCAGTCTTGGGTAAAAGATATCAAAAATTAACAAATTATATTGCTGAATTAGTGGAAGATTTCAATTTAGTCTCATTTGAAGTATTATCAGTAGAAGATAAACAATCAATGATTAATCTTTTAACAGTTATAGATAAAGCTAATGGTTATATGTTTGGTACTACGGAAGTTGGTGGTGATACCATTTGGGCAGAAGCTACAAGACAAGGTGGTATGACAGAAGTTGATATTCAAGATAGATGGATTGATAACAAGGCTAAATATGAAGCTGAAGAGGCAAAAAGACAAAAAGAATTGATGGAAGAAGCTGAAAATCAAGCAGATTTATTTGAATAAATATAAGTTCAATCTATAACTATCTTTTGATGAAATATTTTGTAATGTACATATGCTAATGGATTGGGTAGTTAATCCATTATTTTAAAATCTTTTGAGCTAATTCAATGTTTTCCTTTGAAGCTGTTAAATCTTCAGTTCCTTGATATTCTTTTAAGAATTCTTCTAAAGATTGTTGAGCTTCATCAATTTTTTTACGAATTTCAGGAATGACATTCTTTGTATCATCCAACACTTCGACTTGCTTTTTCAAATCGTATTGATCAGCACCCGATGATTTCAATTGTTCAACATGAGCTTCTTGAGCTTTTAATTCATCTTGATATAATGATTCTTCTTTAATCAATCTTCCTAAAGCTTTGGTTTTGATTTCTAATTGTGATGGTGCCATTTTCTAAAGAAAACATTAGTCACTGAGCAAAATCTAGTAGAAATCATCTAATTACTCACTTTCTCTATAATAATAAACCTTTAAAGTATCCGTTTTACTTTATTCTTCTTTTCTTCTGACACGTTAAAAAAGTTGAAAATGTATAAATTTGAAATCAAAACACGAGAGTCGGAAATTCCCTTTTTGGAATCTCATCTACCGGATCTTAATTTTTTCTATACGTACTTTTCAAATTTATTAAGAGTATTTTGACATTTTGATTTATTTTGATACAAAGAGATTCGTTCTTTATAGATAAAAGATGTCAATGGAAGCTATAAGGGAGAAGATAGATCAAACAGTGACAAATTTGAAAGAAAAAAGGCAACTTTTGGTGAGACATAAGGCCCAATATAATGATTTGAAATTTAAATTGATGGATTTCCAACAATATAAAGAATCAGATAAACCTGAAATAGATGTTAAATTAAATTCAAAAGCTATAGTGAAAGGTCAAATAGTTAACCCACAAAAAATATTGGTATTCCTTGGGTGTGAATATTTCGTTGAAAGAGATCCAACAAAAGCTATAAAATCAGTTGAAAGTAAATTAAAATTTTTGAATAAAGCTATTGGTGAATTTGATGTTAAAATTAAAGATGCAAAGAAAACCATAGAAAATATTGGACATTTAGAAGAATTTGAACGTAAACAAAAATCATCAGCATCATCAAAAAAGTCCAAGAATGCACCAGTAGCTGAGGAAATTGATCAAGATGAAGAATTCCCATTCATGGATATCAGAGAAGAATTAGATGAAGATGGTAATGTTATTAAAAGTTCTGTTCAAAAGCAAGATGATAGTAGAATCAATGGATTTGCTGAAAAGGCTGGGATCAATGAAAATGGTGAAATTGATGATTATGAAGATCAAATTGCAGAATTATTGGAGGATATGGATATTAAACCAAAACCAAGGTTTGAAGAAATTCAAGAGGAAAAACCAAAAGACATATCAAGTAACAATGAAATTTTTTTGGGGAAGACACAAAAGAAAGAAAATAATGATGTTATGAGCTCAGTGGTCAAAGAAAATGATATTGAAGATAAACCTAAAGCTGAATTACAACCAGCTGCACAAAACAAAATCAACGAAACACATTCACAAGCTATAGAATCACAAGCAGTAGAGAATGAAGAAGAGGAAGAGGATGAATATTATCAGTTGATGAGAGAAATGGGTATTTCAACTAAGCCTAAGAATGTCAAATCAGAATCTAAGCCTAAAGTGGAAACTGAAGCTGATGTCAAAGAAATCAAATCAAGTCATACTGAGCAACCTCAAACATCTATAAAATCATCAGAAGCAACAACAAAAGAAATTGAAGAGTTACCAACCCAATCAGAAGAGCCATTACAACCAGTAATAGAGGTTAATGGTGAGTGGGGTGACTTTAATCCAGACCAACCAGCTATTGAACAAGACGATTTTATACAATTACAACTAATAGCGGATGAGTTTGAAGAAGATGGTGATTATGATTATGATGAAGATGAACAAGATTTTGAATTTGACGAAGATGAAGAAGAAGATGATGATGACGATGAGGATTGGGATTTCTCAACAAATCCAGATTCATTAATTCCAGATTCACACAGAACTTTATTCATGAAAGAATTACAAAAAATTAGAAACCAAAATCTTAATTCAGATAAACCTGTTAATAATAAAGATGAACCTGTTGAAGTTGAAGCTGAAATAAAAAAAGATCAACCAAAGAAGAAAAAATCAGTTTCATTTGCACCTAAATTACAAATTAAACAAATAGAAAACGTTTCAGAACAGCTAAAAAATGCACCAGATCACGGGAAATTATCTAAATTTAAACAGATGAGAGTTTCCAATGGTACTCAACCAGCACCTTTTACAAATGAAACCACATCAAGCCCCGTTACTACCAATAATAATGATACTAACGAGAGACCTGTTTCAGATATTGTGATTGAAAAAGATTTCATTGAACAAGAAATACCATCAGAACCAGAACCAACACCAAAAAGAGTCTCAAAATTCAAGCAAAGAAACTCATCATCAACCAGAACAATACCAATGGCTCCAAATCCAACGATAAACGAAACTGCAGGTGGTTCATTATCAGATATTGTTGATAAAGATATCATTAAAGAAGAACAAGTCCCTGAACCTTCACAAAAAGTCTCAAAATTCAAACAAAGAGGTTCATCTTCAACAAGAACAACACCTATTATGAGTGAAACAGCAGGTGGTTCATTATCAGATATTGTTGATAAGGAGAATATTGAAGATAAACCATCAGAACCAGTACAAAAAGTCTCAAAATTCAAACAAAGGAACTCACATAACACCTCAACAATGCCAGTTGCTGAAGCAAAATCAACAGGAATAGAAACGGCAGGAGGGTCATTATCCGATATCGTTGAAAAAGCTGATATAGTTGAACCTTCAGCTCCATTATCAAAAGATAAAGTATCACGTTTCAAGTCATCAATATCCAAACCACCAGTGAAAGGTAATGCCATTTCAATACCCAAAAATGATTTTAATTATGATATAGAGAATGATGAATATGATGAATTTGAAGATATAAAAGCTTACCTTGAAAATGAAGATGAAGATGAAGAGGATGAAGAAGCTTTGAATGCAATTACAGATATGGATATTTATACAACAGCAGATATCAATGAATTCGATGAAGATCAAGATCAAGATGATGGCGATGGATCAGAAGAAGAAACTGGTGTCTTAACTGATCAAATTGTTGAACATGATGAAGTCGATGATCCAAGCTATTTTGTCGATGATAATATCTTACAGAAAGAATATCAAGATTTAAGAAGAAAGATGTTTGCTAAATATATGGAACGTGATGAAGCCGAAATTAAAGAAAAGATCATACCCAAGTTTAACGAAGATGAGGAAATGGAATTAGAACCTATTGATGAGCATGGTAATCCTGTTAGAGTAAGTAGATTTTTGGAATCATTGGGTAAATAGTAAATAGAGTAATATAATTAGTTATTTAATGACAATACGCTGTAAAACATGATCTATATCCAAAAATCAAATTACAAGTACTAAATTCTACCATAATTTTGTCTTTTTTGAACTAAAGCATTTGTACTTTTTTTGTACCGAGTATAATGGTGTTTTCTTAACATCATCAAAAAGTTCAAAAATTGTTCTTCAACTAGTGACTCAGCTAAAGGATCCATCAAAAACGAGACATTAACACCAAAACTAGAAGTAAAATGGAATACAATCATCTGATTGCGTATTATTACAAAAAAGGCCTCAACTTTCTTGCTCAATGACTGCGCTAAATAAAAGAGATCACTTCATTCTCTGTTCAGTTTCTTGAGAGTAATTAAAAGAATTTGGGTATTTTGACTATAAAAGCAGAAAACAATACCACAATGCTAATAGTTTTTCCTTTCGATTGAATATATTTAGCTCATCAGTTTATCAAAATCCCCAACTATCTTAATTAACTTATTGAAGACGGTTATAAAATTAGTTTTAGATATTGAATACTATAAAACAAGCAAGAAAGCCACAAAAGATGTATAAACGATTAGAAGAGATGTCAGAAGAAAGGATACCTGAAGCTGATAGTAGCGATAATGATTCTGATATGTCAGAAGAGCAAGATGAAAAAGATGTTTTGGAACTCCTTAAAAATTATGGAGAGGGAAAGTTGAATAATGGTCGATTGTTTGGAGAACTTTTTGAAGGACTAGACCCTTGTACTATACAGAAACAAATTGAAAAACATCCAATATTGATGACAATCAATATTTTACCTAACATAAACAATGATGATATTAGAAGAGACGATGAAGATGAATATGAGGGAGATGATGAGATGGATTTAACAGAAGCAGAAAATGATAAAGAAGAACAAGAGGAACAAGCGAACGTGGAGAGAGTTGAAGAAAACAAGGATCATTTGAAACAGCTTTTTGAAGGTTACGGAGAGGGAGAGGTGGCTGACACTGGATTGTTTGAAAGAATTTATGAATTTTGTATGAAACCTCGAATATTGAAGCAAATTGCTCGTAATCCATTAATAAAGGCACTTGATGTATTACCTGAATTCAGCAATGGTGGTTCTAGAAGAGAAGATGAAGAAGATGAAGATTATGATGATGAAGAATAATTCTGAACTAGATGACCATAAAAACTGTTATTTATCTTGAAAATATATGAAAATTATGTATCAACATGCGACCTGTATACCCTAAAATTATTCGCGAAATTTGGTTATATCACCGCGAATTTCTGGAATATTTATAAAAACGTCCACCAATTTTCAAATTTCTTCCTTTTATTGTTACTTTTTTCTTTTCTTCATCATTCAAAATAAAGAAACCTTAACCAAAAAGAGAATAGGTTTACTGATCAGATGTTTCATCTCCATAGGTCTGATTGGGTCAAGGTTTCTGAGACTGATTCGTGAGACAAACTCTGAAGTCTTTGACTGGTTTTTCGAAGTTGAAGACTATTATTTCTTGTCATACATCTCTACTCAAAGCTTGTTTATATAGGTAATTGTGTATTATTAATTTTATGCATCTATACTAGTTTTATGTTTTCGTAATTGTTCATATATTTATTGGTTGTTGGTGGTTGGTTCAAATCAAATCAAATCAGCTGGGAACTCTATTAACAACACGTAACCCACCTCTATAACCTGGTGACTGAAATTGATGGAACGTTATAGGTTGCAATCTAGGTGAAGAAGCATGTGTTTGAGATGAATTGAGTTGTTGGTGTTGCTGTGGCTGAGATAGTTCAATCTCAGATCCTGGTATTGATGGTAGTTTTCTTGATCTTCTGGTGAATATAGCAGTATCACGTTCGTTACATGGTGATTGTGGTGATGATTGAGAACGTTCACCTTCAAAACTAGCTCTTGAAACATAATATGGATCTTTCTTTGTGACGTTCATTGTATGTTGTGGTAATACTGGTGGTGTTTTAGTCTTGATTTGAAAACCTTTTTGAGTATCATCATAACTTCTTAAGTATTTGATTGAATCTCTTGGGTGTAATTTTGATTTGAATTCATTTGGATTTGAATTTGGACTTTTGTTAATGATTGATGGATCAATACTTATTACATCATCTTCTGGTGTATCTATGAATGAATATGTACTTGATGGATTTGAAGCTGTATCTGAAGATGAAGAATTTGAATTAATCTCTGGTGATGATGTGTTTGAATGTGATTGATGTAATGGACTTGTTGGATCTGAAACATCTCTTTGATATAAACCAAATGGTGAATTTTCTTCATAGATTTGAATTATATTGGTATAATCATGAATTTGATGAAGTCCATTTGCATTTTGATGTAAGAGTTGAACAGGCATGGAGATATCTCTTTTAGGAAAAGGACGTTGTTCATGATGATGATACATGATTGGATATTTTGGTAAAGGTGGTGTAGCAGGTAATGATTTTTGTTGATTTGGAACTATTTTATTGGTGGTAGATGATGGATAACTTTCTCTTGTTGGAGGTGGTCTTCTTTTTGGCATTTTCAACTTATGATCAGTGGATCTAGGTTCTGGAAATACAACATTTTCATTGAACTTTGGTGGTGGCACAAGACCCAAATCTTCCATTGGAGTTACAAGATCAAATATTGGTGTACTAACAACTCTTCTTGTTGGATTACCCTTTTTACCATTAAATCTTGTCTTGACTCTTATTGGTAAGTCATCAAGTGTGGAAGAAAATTTCTGGTTACTAGTTAGTACAAGAGTCACTATGAATACAAGTTTTATGAGGAAAAGATACTTACTTTTTTTTGTTGAATCTTTGGAATCTCATCTATTTGGACCTCCTTAATTGAAGGAATCAAATCATCCACAGTGATATCATCACCTGTGAACTTTCTTAAGTATCTCATTAAAGAATGTTTTTGCTAAACTATTTCCTTAGTGATGTCTTAAATCAATAAGATTAAGTTGTAAACTTTAAGTAAATTGAATATAGAAGGCATATAGTTTTATATATATACAGAAGATCATGAATGAATCTTGTTGCCGGGTTCATAGACATGTTAGAGATGCCGGTGGGTGGCTTTTACCAAAACTGTGATTTACCACTCTTCTTGATGCCACAAAATGCTCCTTTCTTCTTCTCTAACCTCATGTTCCAGCAGCTAAAGACTCTAATTCATGCTTGAAAAGTTGTTGATGGCTGGTTATACTAGTGGTAGAGACCACACAATCCCCGGTTTTTGGACCAGCCACCAGTGAAGGAAGGTCAAAAGAGACACAATTTGGATCCGCAATGAGCTTTGGATCAGGTAAGTGAAGAGGATCCAGGATCTGATCCGTTTGATCCAAGTTTCATCCTGAGAATCACTATTGCAATTTTTCCGTATATACTGCTGGTCATATGTCAAAATGGACACTTATGACTACTGGGATCATTGGAAACAATAGGCAACTGGACATAACTACCATATCAAGAACAGAGATCCAGCTTTTTTAGACTATGCTTCAGATCTCACAGATTTTATACCGATTTAAAACTAAAAATAGCAGCGTATGGCTCTTCTATACTCTTCAGAAGTTCAGATCGTTTGTGAATTGTTTGATAAATTAGATAAAGTTTATCAGTTTTCGGTGCACAAACCAGAAAATTGCTTATTCAAAAAAAAAAATTTATGCGATGAGTTGAAAAAATATCATTGAAAGGTAAACACTAGAGGGAAAACCAGAACCCAGCTACCAAGAGACTAAGTGCCGTGGAAGATGACTATAGAAGATAAATTTGAAGAGTTAAAAGTGGATGATAACACACCTCAAGAACAAATCGCCGAGGTTCAAGCATATGAAGAAGCCGATACACGTATAGGACGTGATGATCCATTCACTTTTGGTCAACGTAAATTACAATCAGAAGAAGAAGTATGGAATCATAATGCGTGGGATAACGTTGAATGGGGTGAAGAGCAAGTTAAAGAAGCTCAAGAGAAAATTGCTAAACAATATGAAGCTCCAGTGAAAGATTTTGATAAAAAGTTATATAATGGGAATCCTGCTAGATACTGGGATATTTTTTACAAGAATAATAAGGAAAATTTCTTCAAAGATAGAAAATGGCTACAGATTGAATTTCCACAATTATATGAAGCTACAAAAGAGAACTATGGTCCTGTTACTATCTTTGAGATTGGATGTGGTGCTGGTAATACACTTTTCCCAATCTTGAACCAAAATCAAAATAAAGATTTGAAAATAATAGGTGCAGATTTTAGTCCAAAAGCTGTTGATTTAGTTAAAACAAGTGAGAATTTCAACCCAGATTTTGCTCATGCCGCTGTTTGGGATTTAGCTAACCCTGAAGGTGCACTCCCTGAAGGTGTTGAACCTCATAGTGTTGATATTGCAGTTATGGTTTTCGTTTTCAGTGCGTTAGCACCAGATCAATGGCAACAAGCTGTTGATAACTTGGCAAAGATTTTGAAACCAGGTGGTAAGATTTTATTCAGAGATTATGGTAGATATGATTTAGCACAAGTTCGTTTCAAAAAAAATAGATTATTAGATGATAATTTCTATATAAGAGGTGATGGTACAAGAGTTTATTTCTTTACAGAAGAAGAACTGAGAGAAATTTTCACAAGTAAATTCATAGAGAACAAAATTGGTACTGATAGAAGATTATTAGTCAATAGAAAAAGACAGTTGAAAATGTATCGTATTTGGTTACAAGCTGTCTTTGAAGTTCCAAAATAGATATCCCATATATATAATAACTTAATTCTAATGCATTTAGTAATTTCGTCTTTTTTTTCAACTAATTAGTACTATAGAAACATGTAAAAATCCGTCAATATAGATGGCTTCATAATATAAATCAGCTAAAGGAGTTTCCAAGGGGATTGTAACACCATGTAATACCGGTTTGGCAATTATATTAGTCCTCACAGATGGGAATAAATCAGGTAATACATTTTTCAAAGCTTGACCTAATGTCACTGTGGTATCTTCACTATCATAAGCAGTAACTGGTAAATCAACAACTTTATCAGAAGCTGGTAAATAAAGCCTTATAGGGATATTTTTAAGTCTTCTTGAATTCCTACTTTGAATTTTTGGCATATTTGACCAAAATAGTTCATAATCATGATGTTTTATAGAATTCCATAAATCTGATGAATCTTGTTTTGAAAGGATCATAACAGGTTTAGCAGTACCGTGTTGAACATAACATGATTCTTTCAATTGATTGACCCAATGTGATTCTAATGTTTGATATGTCGGGAGTGGTAATAAATAATCTTCTGGATAGTTTCTATAATGTAGAGTCAATTTCCAAACACAATCTTCATTTGTTTTCCTCTTTTGTGGATCAAGACCAGTAAGGATATCATATAGTAGTCCAATTGGATAATTCCTTTGTTGATGATTATTAGTATAAGAATTTCTTATACATAACTTAACCAGCACTCACCATTTTAGTGGGACGTCTTCAAACTCTAGCCACCATTCTGACGATTTTGACCAATCGGGTACCAATAAGTATGATTGTAGATATTCCAATATCCTAGGGAAGTATAGCGGGAAATATGAGTTTCTCTTCACAGAACACTGATACATTGTTAGTTATCAAACTCATTATGACAGGAAATCCCTTGGGTTAAACTCACATAATATTCTCGATTATCGACCATTTGACTGCTATCGCTCGGAGCGAGCTTGAAGCAAATGTTTATGGAACCATCCCATATCTTCTTACTCAAATCAGACATCCTGCATACCAAAAATTGTCCCTTGATTAGTGTTCTTTTAAAAGAATGGAAAGTTGTTTCTTTATCTTTGTTTTGATATTACAAGGTTTGGCCACTATTCACCGCGAAATTTTTATTCAGTATAAACTTTTATGAAGATTTTGTAATTTATTTTCATTTACATTCTTCAAAACATATTGAATGTAAACGTGAAAGGATGGATTTCAGCGATGAGGTTGGACCAGAAAGTATATGGGAAGATGACAACAACTTCTATCAAGAGAATGAGACGCTGGTGATTTCAATATTCCATATTGATCCAATGCTTGAAAGAGATGAAATCAAGTCAAACTTACAAAGAGTCCTAACAGATATCCATAACCGATTTGAACCATGGCTAGATCATTATATTTGGAATCAAGAACCTGTGAAATTTGAAATGTGTGAACATGATGATGTGGAATACATTTATGGTAAATTGGTATTTGGTGATTATTATAATGATGAATGGCTGGTTACACAGATTTTATTTGAACTTTCCAAGACTTATGAAGATTTATACATACATCTTTCCGATAATGAAGGTGAATTAATACTTATAGAAGGTGCTGATCAACTACCAGAATGGATTGAACCTGGAAATGCCAAAAATAGAGATTGGATTAATCATGGAAGAATATTAATCATACCTGAAGAGTATTATAAAGATCGTGGATTGAAAATGAAAGAAGCATTAAAATTTTTGGATAGAGCTGTTTACAAATGTTTAAAGATAGCTGAGTTAGATAAAGTCATAATATCAAAGCTGAAGCAATATCCAACAAAGGCATTAGAAGGCCAAGTTGAATTAGAAATTACTCTACCCAGAGAGTATGCAGGGTTATTAATGAAGTCAAACATACTCAATCAAGCTGTCATAGCTCATGGTAAGGATATACAAGGTGGAAATGCAACAGAAAACTTAACTACCACTGACTTGGTGGATTTAAAAATAAGGACAACCGCATTAGCCTATTTATTCACAGACTTTTATGCCAAATCACAAAATGAATCTCAAAAATTAGCAGGTGGTAAACTTGTGACGATATCTTTACAAAAATATCTTAATGAAAATCCCAATATTAAATTAGATTATAAACCAACAGACAAGGAGATCCAAGATTTCAATCTTAAAGGTGATGTCTTACAAAAAGAATTGATCAGACTTATGAGAATTGATAAGTATGTTGAACCAAATATAAAATTTGATGATTCAAATGAAACTGAAAATCCAGAGAATGATGACTTGGTATCTAAACTTGAAACTTTTTTCAAAGATACAAATGCTGGTCTTGACGGTGTTGAAAATAAACCACAAGACTTTACAAAGTCAACAAATTTTAAAATTGAAGAACTGGAACCTGAATCCGAAGATAGTGACGAGGAAGATGAAGAAGCAAGAAAATATCTTGCCCAGGAGAACATTGATATCGATGAAGATGATTTTTTTGAATTTTTCGCCAAAGAAGCATTGAAATTATCCGATGAGGATTTAGAAACATTTAGAAACATGAAATTAGATGATGAGCAAAACGTTACTAACGATCAAGATGAAGAGGATTATGAACCTGATAGTGATGAAGAAGAATTATTGAAAAACTTTGCATCCGGAGATGCTACCCAGTCTATCCAAGAATTATTGAAAAGTCTGCAAACTGAAGGTGGTGCAAATGGTCCAGCTGCTACATTATTACAAAGTTTAGGTATGAACATCACAACAGAGAAATAATACAGATCAAATGGCTCAGTACAAAATCAAACATCAAATTCATTACATAAGTTAAATAAAATCAAAGAACTGAATAGTCTTTATTGTGTAGATATGCTTTTTTACAGTTGTCTTCCTCTTTCTGAGACATCACTTTCAAAATCCGATGCAAGTCTTGTAGATTCACCAATTCCCAAGTTTTCTAAATCAGTTTCAATATCTTCCATATTATCATCATCAACATCCACGTTATCTTCACCGTTATTTTCACTATCTTCTTCTTCTTCAATAATGAAGGCTTTTGAACGTTTGAATTTACTTGATGGTGGTATACCTAATGGTGATTTCCTTCTTTTAAAAGTTTTAGGGAAAACGGATTCATTAAATTTTCTACCTCTATTGTTTCTAGCTGTGAAACTTGAAGATGTTGATTGATCATATAATGAACCTTTTCTTGAACTTCTATCAGATGCACTTGAATTGCTCGAGATCAGACTTAATGATCTTCTAGCAGTAGCACCTTTACTATATAATGAAGTATCTGATGATTTTTTCCTTGTGAATGGTGGTCTTGTTAGATTTTCAGAGTTTGTTGTATTAAAACTACCAACACTCATATCTGAAAAGTTTGTCATATTGGAAACAACAGATTGTGTTGAAATCATTGAAACTGGTCTTGGACGACCCGCTCTAGAATCGAAATTGGATGATCTTGTTGGTGATTTAGGCTCATGGATTGTTAATGTATTTGGAGAACTTTTAAATGATGGTGCTGTGATCGTTAATTTACTATTATTTTGATGTGATGGAGTGTCTTGGTTTTTTATAGGAGATGTGTGATTACTATTACCTTTATGCTCTTTGTTCATGCTATCGAATGATGTTTTTTGGTAATCTGAATGATTGGTTGAAATTTCAGGCTTTTTGTTTTTCCACAGTTTAGTGAATTTTTGTATGAATCCATTCTTCTTCTTTCCAGGACTGTTAATCGATTCATTATTTAGACTTTGTCCTGTAGATTTGTTATCTTGAAATTCTTGCTTGTTATTATGATTATTATGATTATTGTTCTTGTTATTATTGCTATTATTATTATTATTGTTGTTGTTGTTATTGCTGAAATCGTTAAATATTTCATTATCATTACGACCATTACTCTGGCGATCATTGAAAATATGTGATTTGTTACTCATGCCACTAACAATTCTACTTAATGGCGGTGACATAGCAGGATCCATAAATTGACTGACTCTTCTCGAAGTTGATTCACTTATCCTCAAAACAGATCTACTTCTTGTTTTATACTTCTTGCCTTGTTTTTTCTTTTCCTTTTCTAAAAGCAATTCCCATAATCCACACAATGAATCGGCCTTCTTGTTTATAACACTTTTCTGTAAGGCATATGTATCTATACCTAAGCTTTTAAGTTTTTTCAATAAATGTTTCTCACTTTTGGAATGGAAATGCTTTTGATTAGCCATTAATTTTAGTACAGACAACGTTGATTCTAAATTTGATAAACCTTCATTCTCCAAAAACGGATGATTTAAAATTTCTAGAGTACTTGGTCTTTGACTTGGTGTTTTATTAAGCATTCTTTTGATAAGGTCAATAGCAGATTGTGGGATATCTTCTTTGTATATGGGTTCAGTGTTGACGATCTTAAAACCTGTCATATTTTCATCATCTTCATCGAATGGCATTTGTCCATAAAGCATTGTATATAAAATCACACCCAATGACCAAACATCAACCTTGAAACCATCGTATTTCTCCTTTTTGATAAGTTCTGGTGCCATATAAACGGTTGTACCACATACAGTCTCTAGGAAGTTTCTTTGCTCACATTCTCTGGTAAATCCAAAATCTGACAATTTAGCATTTTTCTTTTTATCCAACAAAATATTCTCTAATTTCAAGTCACGATGAATACAGTTCAATGAGTGTGCATAGAATACAGCACTCGTTATTTGAGCAAATAATCTTTTAGCATTTTCAATGGGTATTCTTCCACAACCCAAAACATAATCATATAACTCTTTACCAGGACAATATTCTAAAACCATCCATATCATACCTTCACTAACAACAACTTCATATAATCTCGTGATGTAAATGTGTTTGAACTGTCTATGGTAATATATTTCCCTGACAAGATTTGGATCAGTTTTGTTACCAGTTTTTAAAACAACTTTTGTATGTGTCAATTTATGATTAGCTAAGTATACTTTCCCAAAGGACCCTTCACCAATTTGCTTAATAATTGTATAGTTACCAACTTCTTTGATTTGATCTGAGCAAAACTCTGAATAGAGTCTATTATAGTTTTCTGCAATTCTTGCCTTCTCATTGTTGGAATTTCTCCCACCATTCATCATCATATTGAAGTTATGGTTATGTCTCAATGCAAAAAATGCGGCTTAGCCTAAAAGTATATTATTTCAGCAGTACCAACGGAAATGTGATTATGGATTTGATTTTGTGATTCTTAGTTGAATTTTATTGATGATTATCCACCAATATTGGAGAAATGGTCTCTTTAATCCCACAAATATGCTAGTTATTGATCTGAAATGAAGCAAAGCTCAAACCAGAGTCAGGTGAAGACTTATAGCACACGGCGGATCAACGAGTTCCCAGCGCAGCCCGGCAGATTCCAAAGTTCTTATCTCTTGCCAGCGAATGTATGCCACTGTCCACCAGGGAAACCTCAATAAACACGTCCAACTCAGCGTAAACCTGTCAAACTGAGAAGCGAAGAGCTCAAAATTTCGAGTTGTTTTATGTGATGAAATCAAAACGTCAAAATTAATGCGCGGATTATGTCAGCATATCGTCAGATCTTGCAAAATTATAACCTCCATTTTGAACCAACCATCACCAAGTTCTCACTTGACGACTGGCTAGATTATTGGTGATCTTGTGCTCTTGATGTCCTCAGAAGGTAACATGGCAATGCGTCGCACATACACAGTGGGTATATTCTTTTGGAAGTCTTAGAGCTATATTCTCCATAGGATTGAGAGATCAATGACTAACAAACATCTTTAGGATGCGATCAACGCATTGAACTCACTTCAATCAAACTTTGCCACTATAGAGGCCATAAGGAAATCAGGTATCAACAAAAATGCTATGGCAATGCCTGAGATGCTGGAATGGACAAGAAGAATTGGTTACAAGGCTTCAGATTTCAACAAATTGAACATAATCCATGTCACTGGTACCAAAGGTAAAGGTTCAACATGTGCATTTACACAATCCATCTTGATGCAATACCAAAAAGAGATCCCAAAGATTGGTTTATATACATCTCCTCATTTGAAATCTGTTCGTGAAAGAATAAGAATTAATGGTCAACCAATTGCAGAAGAATTATTCACTAAGTATTTTTTCGAAGTTTGGGATAGTTTATCATCATCACAATCAAATGAAACAGAATTCCCACATATGGGATCAGATATCAAACCAATGTATTTCAAGTATTTGACTCTGTTATCGTTCCATGTATTCATGAAAGAAGGCGTTAATACTGCCATCTATGAAGTTGGTGTTGGTGGTGAATTTGATTCAACAAATATAATCGAACAGCCAACAGCTGCTGGTGTTTCAGCTTTAGGTATTGATCATACTTTCATGTTAGGTAACACAATCACTGAAATTGCATGGAATAAAGGTGGTATCTTCAAAAAAGGTGCTAAAGCATTCAGTGTCTCCCAAGAAGCTGATGCTATGAAAGTCCTGGAGGAAAGAGCCACCGAAAGAAATACAGAATTAACTGTTGTTGATGAAGATGCTGTTAATGGTTACAAAATTGGTATTCCAGGTACTTTCCAAAGACAAAATGCTGCATTGGCCGTCGCATTGTCAACTGAACATTTGAAAAAATTGAATATTGAAGTTGATGACTCAAAAACTTCAAAAGGTTTGGAAACAACATTTTGGCCAGGTAGATGTCAAATCATCAAGGAAGATAAAATTAATTGGTACATTGATGGTGCTCATACAAAAGAAAGTGTTGACGCTTCAAGTGGCTGGTTCAAGAGCGTTACAGATCCAAAGAGAAAAAGAGTTTTGTTATTCAATCAACAAACTAGGGATGCTAATGCGTTAGTAACCCGTTTATTTGATGGTGTTTCACCATTGAAGTTTGATGAAGTCATTTTCACTACAAATGTTACATGGTCTTCAGGTAAATATTCAGCAGATTTAGTCTCAATGAATACTTCTAAAGATGCAGTTGATAAATTAGAAGTTCAAAAGGAATTGGCTGATGAATGGGCTAAATTAGATCCAAAGTCCAACAGAAATGTATTCCATGATATTGAGTCAAGTATCAAATATATAAGATCATTAGAGGACCAAAATTTGGATGTCTTTGTATGTGGTTCTTTACATCTTGTTGGTGGATTTTTGGTTGTTTTAGAAGGGGAAGATGCCTAGATTGGTTTTGAATATATATAGATTTTGTGATAGAAGTAATCAATATGATCATTTGGAAACAAAGTTGTAGGGCTAGTTAAGTCATTGTAGTTCATGGTGGATTGTTGATTAAAAATTTATACTGTTGAATAGCCAATAATGAAAAATTGTCGCGCGCGTATAAAGTTTACTGTCATCACAATATTAATATGAACTACCAATACTAATTCCATCATTACCAAATAGCCTAGCTATGAGTTTCAGATACGCATTAGAAAACTATATTAAGAATCCAAGCTTTGAAAAAGAAGCAAGAGTGTATGAAGATGATAAATTTGTTGTGATCAAAGACGGTTTCCCTAAAGCTACAATTCATTACTTGATCTTACCAAAGGACTTGAAAATCTCCAAACAAAACCCATTAACTGTTTTTAAGAACAAAGAGTTGAGGGAAGATACTTCTAAAATAATATCCCAAATCAGAGAGAAAATTTTGAAAAGACTACGGGATGAATTTAACATAGAAGAAGATGAAGATTTCATACAAGTCGGAGTTCATAGTGTTCCTTCAATGAATAATTTACACGTTCATTTAGTAACTAGAGACTTCAATTCTGAGAGACTGAAACACAAACAACATTATAATTCATTCACAACCAAATTCTTTGTCAATTTTGAAGATTTACCCTTAAGAGATGGAGATGAAAGGCTTGATGCTGATACAATGGAAAAGGTAAAGAAGACATCTGATCAGATTTGTGTTTATTGTGGAAAAAATTACAAAAACAAGTTTGCAGAATTGAAAAAACATCTTACTCAAGAGTTTAATGATAAGTACAAGAATAAAAAGAGAAAAATTGAAGTGATTGAAATTGATTAATTTATGAATTTCAATGTTTAATATACAAATGAGTCAAAACAGAAAATTAATTTATATTTTGTATGCAGATTTATTAATGACTGAAGTTTAATCATAATTTTTCATATTCTAATCTACCTTCCAACTTCTTGGTTTCTGCAACCTTTCTAACAGCTTTTAATAAATCATTTTGCACGATATAGTCACGATCAGCTCTAATAGCAAAGAAACCAGCTTCTGTAACAACGTTTCTAATATCAGCACCATTGAATCCATCACTCATTTTAACAACGGCTTCGAAATCAAATTCACCTTGTTTTGAAATCTTTTCAGTATGAATTTTGAAAACTTCTAATCTACCAGCTTCATTTGGTAACGGAATTTCAATCTTTCTATCTAATCTACCAGCTCTTAATAAAGCAGGATCTAAAGTATCTGGTCTATTTGTAGCCATAATAACTTTAGTTTGACCCAAATAATCGAAACCATCCATTTGATTTAATAATTCCATTAATGTACGTTGGATTTCACGATCAGCTGAGGTACCTTCACTGAAACGACGACCACCAATAGCATCAATTTCATCCATAAAAATAATACATGGTTCATGTTCTTTAGCATAACTAAACATTTCTCTAATTAATCTTGCAGATTCACCAATATATTTATCCACAATAGCGGATGCTGGTGAAAAAATGAAGTTGGCACCAATAGTAGCAGCAACAGCTTTAGCTAAAAGTGTTTTACCAGTACCTGGTGGACCATATAACAAGACACCTTTTGGTGGTTTAATACCAACTCTTTGGAATAATTCTGGATTTTTCAATGGTAATTCAATAACTTCTCTCAATTCTCTAATTTGTTCACCAAGACCACCAACAGTACCGAATGAAACTTCTTCTGGTTTAAATGTAGTCATGTTATAAACCAATGGATCAACTTCTCTTGGTAAGATTCTCATGATTGTTAAAGTGGTCATATCTAATGCAACTCTAACACCTTGTTTCAATTTAGTTCTATCTATGGAATTTCTGCAATTAACAATATATCTTGGACCTGATGAAGCCTTAACAATGAATCTTTCCTCATCTAATTGTTTTAAAACTTCACCAACAACTTGACCAATACTTTGTAATGCTTTAATATCATCTTCTGTTTTGTCAAAATCTTTCTCTAGTCCCCGTATACTAAATCTTAATTCTTTGAGACGAGCATCCCATTGTCTATGTTCTAATAATTTATTTTTAAACTTTCCTAAAGCTCTATCTCTAGCTGGATCTTGAGATTCTTGTGTGTTTTCACCATTGTTATTATTGTTTGATGGATCAGCTCCTAAAGCTGCTAACAAAGGATCGTTTTCTTCACTCATTTTGAAGATTCAATTGTGTAATATTGTGTATATATTTGAATTGATAGTTTCAAAAATTGCAAATAAAGAAACAATTGAATGGAATGTGATTGAATTCTGTTAAACTTCAACCAGTTCTTTCAAGTTCAAGTGGCAATTTATCAAAAGTTCCCAAAATCTCGATCACCAAAATAAAATAGATCCGAGGGCTAAAGTTGTAGTCACATGACAAGAAATTTCGCGGCCTCGGAAATTCTTAGTTTAGCGCTGGAAAAAGATCAAATAAATTTTGAGTTCAGTCATGATGAGTATTTGGCTTTTGATAAAGTTTAGTTTTATTGCAATTGAACCACAAGTTTAGACAGTTTAATTAAGTTGTCGATATTTCATAACATAAACTGATATAGAATATGGAATTTCACGCTGTTATATGCTGTGGTAAAGGTGGAGGATTAAGTCCTCTATCTATGACCAGAGAAACTGGTATACCAAAAGCTTTACTACCGATTGGTAACAAACCAATGATTGAATATGTTTTAGAATGGTGTGACAAAGCTCCATTTGGTACAGTATCTGTTGTTGGTGATTCAGAAAGTAATGTTGAAATCACATCGGTTGTTGAAGCTTACAAGACAAAAAGACCAAAAAACATACATAGTCATATAAATATTGTCAAATTCGATGGTGATGCTACTGGTGGTATATTAAGTGAATTTATTGAAAAAGCAAATCATTCAAATTTGATATTTTTACCATGTGATTTCGTCACAGACTTACCACCACAGGTGCTAATTGAAGAATTTAGAAACAGAAATGATGAAGATATTGCAATGTCAGTTCATTACCATAACAAGTTTGAAAGTATAGACAAAAAGAATCTGACCAATTATTACACAGTTTACTCAGATGATGATCATTTATTAGATATATATGCAAAAGATTCTGTGGAAGCTTCAAAGTTCTTGGAAATTAGAACTCAAATGATTTGGAGATACCCTAATTCAAATGTTTCAACAAAATTATTAGATTCATTCATATACTTCTTTTCAACTGAAGCTATCAATGCAGTTCAAGAAGAAACTGAAGATTACAAAACAAAATCATTAACTAAGATACTTCGAGACTTGGCCCGTCGTTCTTGGAGACACTCAAAACCAAAAGGAACAGTTAGTTTATTGAATTTACCATCCCAATGTACTTTTGTTAGAGCTGATAATTTACCAGCTTATATGGAAGCTAACCGTTACATCATGAGACTGAAAGCAAAAGCACAACAACAACCACCACAAGCTAAAGAAAAAGGTGCTGCTACAATCGGTGCAGATTCTGTTGTTGGTGAAAATACAACATTAGGTGAACGTACAAGTGTCAAGAAGACAGTTGTTGGTAAGCACGCAAAGATTGGTAAACGTGTTCGTCTTACTGGATCTGTTATTTTGGATGGTGTGCAATTGGAAGATGATGTTGTCTTGGAAAATTGTATTGTTGGTAAAGGTGCCATTATTCATGCTAAATCTAAATTGGTAAACTGTAACATTGAAGGTAGTTATAGTGTTAGCAAAGGATCCAATATCAAAGGTGAAACATTAACTAACTTGTTTATTGAAGGACAAGAAGAATCATCATCTGAATCTGAAAGTGATTCTGAAGATTATGATAGTTATGAAGACGATTTCGAAGATGATTTCGAAGATGATGGTCTTTTCGAACGTTAAACTGTTTATGAATATAGATTTAATGTACAAATATTAGCATAAAGTGAACAACTCAATTCTTAAATATACAACTCAGTAAATTGACGCATTTTTCTGTTGAACTCCATATAATTCTCTATGTGTCTGCGGCCCTTACGACGTCTTCCATAGTTAAGAACGTAACCCGGCCCGTTTCCGGCACTAATATTTGAGATCTTTTTTTCGTTAATTAGAAAATTTGAAATTATGTGACTAAATTGAGCGAACAGAGATTATTTTGATCTTGATTTGATTTACTTTCATATCAAACATCAATAGCATTAGATTAGCTTATCATATCATCCAATATGGCTGACGCTAAGACAATTGTTCTTGAAAATGTGAGTAATTATTTATTTGTGTGTGTGTGTTGAAGTGATTGATGTCTTTTTTTTTTGAAAGTTTTTTTAGAAAAAATGCCCAAAGGTTGTATGATGGCCTTTACAAATCATTGATTTTATCATGAAAGAAACATCAACTTCAACACTTTGTCATAACTTGCAGAATACTAACATTACTGCTTCAATAGACCAAGAGAAGAGATGTCTTAACAGACATTGAAAAAAAATACCAACAAGTTTGGGCGGATGAAAAATTATTCGAACAAGATGCTCCATCATTAGAACAAGAAAATGTTGAAATTGACATTGAAGAATTACATGCTAAATACCCTAAATTCATGAGTTCCATGGCTTATCCATACATGAACGGTGTTTTACACGCTGGTCATTGTTTCACATTATCTAAAGTTGAATTCAGTGTTGGTTTTGAACGTATGAGAGGTAAAAGAGCTCTTTTCCCGCTAGGTTTCCATTGTACAGGTATGCCAATTGCTGCTTGTGCTGATAAATTAGCTCGTGAAGCTGAACAATTTGGTGAAGATTACTTAGGTGCCCCACCAGCTGATGAAGATGAAGAACCAGCTGCACCAAAAGAACAAGCTAAATCTGAAGATTTAACTAAATTTAAAGCTAAGAAATCAAAAGCTGCTGCTAAACAAGGTCGTGGTAAATTCCAATTTGAAATTATGTTACAATTAGGTATCAAAAGAGAAGATGTTATCAAATTTGCTGATGCCAACTATTGGTTAGAATATTTTCCACCTTTATGTAAAAAAGATTGTGACAGTTTTGGTGCTCGTATCGATTGGCGTCGTTCTATGATCACAACTGATGTTAACCCATACTATGATCAATTCGTTAAATGGCAAGTTACCAGATTAAAGGATATCGGTAGAATAAAGTTTGGTGAAAGATACACTATTTACTCTGAAAAAGATGGTCAAGCTTGTATGGATCATGATAGACAATCTGGTGAAGGTGTCACTCCACAAGAATACACTGGTATCAAAATTGAAATCACAGAATTTGCTGACCCAACAGTTACTGAAAACTTGGACAAATCTAAAAAAGTTTACTTAATTGCTGCTACTTTAAGACCAGAAACTATGTACGGTCAAACTTGTTGTTTTGTTTCACCAAAAATTGATTATGGTATTTATGATAATGGTGATGCTTATTTCATCACAACTGAACGTGCTTACAAAAACATGAGTTTCCAAAAATTAACTCCAAAACGTGCTGATTACAAAGCTACAGCCATTGTTAACGGTTTGAAATTAATTGGATCTAAAATTTCAGCTCCATTATCTGTTTACAAAGAATTAAGAGTTTTACCTATGGAAACTGTTCTGGCTACTAAAGGTACTGGTGTTGTTACTTGTGTTCCATCAGATTCTCCAGATGATTACATTACCACCAGAGATTTACAAAACAAACCAGAATATTATGGTATTGAAAAAGAATGGGTTCAAGAACCAGTTGCATTAATTCATACTGAAAAGTACGGTGATAAATGTGCTGAATTCTTATGTAACGAATTGAAAATTCAATCACCAAAAGATGCTGTTCAATTAGCCAAAGCTAAAGAAGCTGCTTACAAAGAAGGTTACTACAATGGTACTTTATTATACGGCCCATACAAAGGTGAAAAAGTTGAAGTTGCTAAACCAAAAGTTAAAGCTGATTTAATTGCTGCAGGTGAAGCTTTCGCTTACAACGAACCAGAAGGTCAAGTTATCTCACGTTCAGGTGATCAATGTATTGTTTCATTAGAAGATCAATGGTATGTTGATTATGGTGAAGAATCATGGAAAGCTGAAGCTTTAGAAGCTTTACACAACATGAACACTTTCACTACTGAAACCAGAAATGCATTTGAAGGTGTTTTAGATTGGTTAAACAACTGGGCTGTTTCACGTTCATACGGTTTAGGTACCAAATTACCATGGGATGAAAAATATTTGGTTGAATCATTATCAGATTCTACAATTTATCAATCATTCTATACTATTGCTCATTTATTACATAAAGATTTCTATGGTAGAGAAATTGGTGAATTAGGTATCAAAGCTGATCAATTAACTAGTGATGTATTTGATTACATTTTCTTAAGAAAAGATGATATCAAAACTGATATTCCAATTGAACATTTACAACGTTTAAGAAGAGAATTTGAATATTTCTATCCATTAGATGTTTCAATTTCTGGTAAAGATTTAATTCCAAACCATTTGACTTTCTTTATCTATACTCATACTGCTATTTTCCCAAAAAGATTATGGCCAAAGGGTATCCGTGCTAACGGTCATTTAATGTTGAACAACAACAAGATGTCTAAATCAACTGGTAACTTTATGACTTTAGAACAAATTGTTGAAAAATTCGGTGCTGATGCTTCACGTATTGCTTTAGCTGATGCTGGTGATAGTGTTGAAGATGCCAACTTTGAAGAATCAAGTGCTAATGCTGCTATTTTAAGATTAACCACTTTGAAAGAATGGTCAGAAGAAACCATTAAGAACATTGATTCTTTCAGAACTGGTGAATTCAACTTCTTTGATATTGCATTTGAAAATGAATTGAATGATTTAATTGAACAAACTTATAAACAATATGATGAAAGTAACTATAAAGCTGCTTTGAAATATGGTTTATTCGATTTCCAAACTGCTCGTGATTATTATCGTGAAACTTCAGATGTTATGCATCGTGATTTAGTTTCTCGTTATATTGAAACTCAAGCTTTATTATTAACTCCAATTGCTCCACATTTTGCTGAATACATTTATCGTGATGTTTTAGGTCATAAGACTACAGTTCAAGATGCTAAATTCCCAAGAGCTAATAAACCAGTTGATTTATCAATTTCTGAATCATTAGAATACATTCGTTACTTGAACCGTTCAATTCGTGAAACTGAAGGTGCTCTGTTAAAGAAAAAGAAAGGTAAACCAAGTGAACTTGATGCTTCAAAACCAGTTAAATTAACTATTTTTGTTTCTGAATCATTCCCAGAATGGCAAAACAATTATATTGAATTAGTTCGTGAACTGTTTGAAAGACAATCATTAAATGATAACAGTGTTATCAAGGAAAAAGTTGGTAAAGATATGAAACGTGCCATGCCTTTCATTAGTAATTTGAAACAACGTTTAACTAAAGAATCTCCACAAGTTGTTTTCAACAGAGAATTAAACTTTAGTGAAGTTGAAACTATTAAAAAGGCTTATGATAATATCAAACGTGCTGCTTCTCTGGTTAAAACTGAACAAGTTCAAATTATTTCATTCAAGAATGGTGCTAAAGTTGGTAAAGATATTTTCACTGGTGAAGAAATTCCAATTTTAATCACTGGTAAAATCATTGATAGTGCTGTCCCAGGTCAACCAGGTCTGCTGATGAATAACATTGAATAAGTTTTTTAAACTTAATTCTTTTTTGCAAGCTACCGATAAATTGTTTGTGCTATAGATTTTTTTAATTTTCGTTTTGCTTATAGAAAGGTTGTTGAAAAGCAAAAAAAAAAAATAATTTTGTATAAAGGCTACATAGTATTTTCATGAATAGAATGAATTTATAAAATTAAAGTTTTCGAAATGTAGTTATATAACATATTAAGACTAGAATGCAAAAAGAATAAATGAAATGATGTTAAATTTGCAATGATGAAATGCAACTTATAATGATTAGTAGAAAACATAATTTTTAAAGGAAGGAAATAAATAATATAATAATTTAACTTAAATCTTCAAACCCACGATTTCGTAATTCTCTAACTGTCCAAACCCAATTTGAAGCAGCATAATTTATATTTGAAGCAACACGACTTGGTTGAGAAATTTTACCACCAAATTTAAAATAACTTCCATTTTCTTCAAGTAAAGTTTCAGGTGATAAAGCACATTTTAAAGTTGCATAACTTCCTTCTTCATTTGAACAACCAAAGAAATAACCAAATACTTGGAAAAATAACCAAAAAAACACACCAAATATAGGTAATCTAGTCCAATAACTAAATAAGTTTGTATTCATAACAAATCCTGGATGTACCGAATATGAATGAATTTCAGGATGTTTCAAAGATAATAATTTCATATATTGAATACCTGATGTTTTAGCCATTGCATATCTAAACCAAGTGAAAATGATGTTTGGTTTATAATTAAAAGTCCAGCTTCTATCAAATGGCGTTACTTCAAAATGATGACCCACAGATGATACAAATATTATTCTTCCTTGTATTAACGGTAATATTCTTTGAGTTAAAAGAAAATGAGAAATATAGTTTGTTTGGAATTGAATTTCAAAATTATCTTTTGTAAGACCATAGGGAAGAGCCATAACACCAGCGTTTAATATCAATAAATCAATTCTTGGTTCTGTAGCATTCATCACAATAGCAGCTTCTTCAACGGATTTTAAACTGAGTAAATCAATTTCCACAAACCGTAGTTCACCAAGAAACCTTTGATTTAAATCTTCTTCTATAACAGCGCTTCTTCTTTTATTAGCTTCTTCTTCAATCTCTTTGATACATTTACTAACTCTGGTAAAGCTTCTACCGCCAATATAAACAACGTAACCATGCAAATACAAGTGAAGTACTGTGAACCAGCCTATCCCACTGTTCCCTCCAGTGACCAAAGCGACTCTGCGCTCCTCGTTTGGATTCACGTATGGAAGCTCATCTGGGTTGAAATCCATCTTTCCTTTGGTCTTTGTATCAAAAGTTGGTGATGTTTATCAGTTTACCGCTGAGTTGAAGTTTGCAGTTTCTCATTATGTGCTTCAATTTTTGGTTTTTTTTTCCTTTCTACAATGAGATGTTTTTCATCGTAGATCTAATGAGATATATAACGAACAGCCTGCAATTCGCAACGTTTGGGACCATCTTTTACTGGCAACGGATTAGGAAAGTCAAAACTAGATATGACTTATGGTATTATAGGAGTTCAAAGTTACCTTTTCCCTACATTCTACACTTAAAGATTGAATATTTCCAATGCTATTTATATCCTATATACAATAAACTTCATACAACGTATCTCTTAATTTCTATCTTACAAAAATCTTTTGGTCGATAGCTTAGCAGCTTCTTCCAATTGTTTAGCTTTAACTTTTTCATGTTCTCTAATCTTTTCACCCAAGAATGTCTTCATTTCATCAGTAATGTTATACTTAGGTAATTTCTTCAATTCTTCTCTTTCAGCCAAGTATGCTTTCTTAGTTTCTGATAATGGCATCTTTGGTGGTGTTAATTTCTTAGCTTCTAATTTAGTTAATTTAGTACGTTTATGTTTAGAATATGGGTTTCTTAATGTGAGTAAAGCAGCTTCAGGAATTGAATTTCTAACTGCTGATTCAATGAAATGTGTACGTTCTCTAACAACATCAACTGGTGTACTTAAAGCATCATCTTCAATTGGTTCTGGTCTTGGGTATGGAATCACTAAATCTTCTTGACCTGCAACACATCTATATTTTAAAACTTTTTTATAATCTTCATCATAATATTTACCAATAAATTTTAAATTATCAACTGCAACTGTTTTAGTTAAACCAGTTTTTTCATCATCTATTTCAGCAATTAATCTTAAATTATCTTGATGCACAGCTTTTGGGAATGTAATCACATGAGAAGTTTGTTCATCTTGCCATAATTCTTTTGGAACTGCAACTGTACTTGTTGGTCCATTTTCATCTAATATATAACCTTTACCTTCAACATGACGAGAAACTTTACAAATATTACCTTGTTTTGGACCTTTAATAATCATGACTCTATCACCAATTAAATATTTTAATTTTTCAAATTCTTTTGGAACTGAATTATCTTCTTGAAGATCTAATTTAAAAGGACTTCTCATAAAATGTGGTTGACCTTGACGATATTTCTTTTCATATCTAGTCATTAATGACTTAGGAAGTCTTTTGATATCAAACTTGAATCTTTCACCAACTTTGGATAAGAAAGACATGATGAAGGATCAATAATTTTTATGAATGGATTCAAAGATCTAATACTCAAGAGTCTTAATATTCTAAACCATAATAAAGCTTATATGAATTTTTCATTCGATCAATATCCACTGAAAAAAAAACCGAGTCGCGAAAAATACTAAAAAATGTACTGGGATTATGTAATTTATGAGTAATCACTATACAAACGATGAAGAGCGGGTAATTTACCATACTTTAATTATAATAATAATTATTATTATTATTATCATTTAATTCACATAAATCACAAATTGTTCAATTAAAATAGTATACAAATTAGCTTCTTTTTATCCACTAGTATTAGTTATCAGTACATATACTGATAAATTCTTCTTCATTGACTAGGGAAATACCCTGTTAGTAAAACATTCTTTTCAAATCTCATTCTAAATTATACTCACTTTCTCCATCATTATCTAAATCAAATTCATCAATCATTGCTCTTAGTTCTTCATCTGTCAAGTTTTCACCTAATTCTTTAGCTACTCTCCGTAGATTACGAAGACTGATTTTACCTGTGTTGTCATCATCAAATAATCTAAAAGCACGACGAATTTCTTCCAATGGATCTCTATTCAAAACTTTTTCACCCACTGTTCATTTGTTAGCTGAATCCTAATTTTAAATCATCCACATAATACTCACTTATAGCAAAGAAATCTTCATAATGCATTTGGTTTCTATCATCTCTGTCAAATTCATGTATAAGTTCCAAAACTTCTTGTTTAGTATAATCAAAACCTAAAGCTCTGATAGCAACCTAAAATATCTGTTAGTTTCAATAACCACCAATCCATAAACTTTAAAAACTCACCTTTAACTCATGATAATCCAAATAACCGTCATTGTTCATATCAAATAAATTGAATGCTTCTCTGATCTCTTGCTTCTGTTCTTCCAACAACTCTTTCTTCAATTGTGATGGAGCGCGCAACGAAGCTGTACCGGCTGTCTGTGTAGCACCAACTCTTCTTGGAAGGGACATCTTTGATTGATTTCAAATGGTGTTTTTTCTCGTTGATGTCTTTGTGAATGTTTGTGATTTAAAACGCGTTTTATGCTTTTTTTTTATTAAATGCGAATTTTGGCGTGGCCCATGTCATGATTTTGATTAAAATGTAAACAATTAGATACTTAAATACGAAAAGTTTGGTTTTGCAATTGAAATCATCAGATCTTTCATTTATTAGTTTGTGCTGTGTCAATGGTGGTATCTGTTGGAGCCAAGGTTAAATTCAAAGGTGATCTCGGTGTGGTACGGTATGCTGGGGAGACGCATTTTGCCCCTGGTGTTTGGGTAGGTGTTGAATTACTAGATCAACCAAATGGGAAGAATGATGGTTCGGTTAATGGTGAAAGATATTTCCAATGTGAAGATAAATATGGGATATTTGTGAGGGAGCATCTGGTAGATGTGTTGGAAGCAAGACCATTGAGTCCAATCAAAGTGAATAAGACAAGGGCTAGTTTACCAAATGATCCAACTCATAGAAAAACGTCATCATCATCAACAAGATTATCATCTGCTATGTCATCTAGAACACCTTCAAGGGCAAGTGAAGGTGGATCAAATGATTCTAATTCAGAATCTTTAAGATTACGGAATATCATACAGAAATTACAAGATAAATTACAAGTTATGAAATCAGATCTTGATATTCTACGATCTCAATTACATCTGGTTGAAGCTAAAAATATTGAGTTAGAAGACACAATAAATAAGAATAAAGAAGATTTTGAAATATCAGCAGTTGATAGGGAAACGTTGGAGGAACAAAATGTACTTTTGAAAGAAGAGATTGAATCCTTAAGAGAGCAAAATAGTAAAATACGTGAACAAATTAAAAGTTTAGATAAAGAAGCTAAATCATCTAACAATCCAAAACATCAAGATTTATTGAATGAATCTAAAGAATCTCTTATTGAAAGAAATTCGATGCTTGAAGATGCATTGGTAAAACTTAGAGATTATTCAAATAACCAGAAAACAACACTTCAACGGAAAATTGATGAACTTGAATCGACACTCGATCCATTAATGGATATAGAGGAAAAATATGAAGAAACTTCAATCAAATTAATTGATGCTGAAACTACAATCTCAGATTTGAAACTTCATATTGAAACTTCAATACATTCAACAGAGATCATTGACACCTTAACAAATGAAAATAACTCATTGACTGAGGAAAATGAAAAATTGAAATCAACTATACAAGAATTGGAAGAATTAAGAAGAGTTGGAGAAGAACTTGAGAGTTTCCATATTGAAAATACAAGTAACTTACAAAAAGAAATTGATCAATTAAAAGAAAATTTTGAAAAACAAACCATTGGTGTTCAAGATCTTCAAGAATCTCAAGAAGAACTCAAGGCTAAAACAATTGAATTAGAAAAAATCAATGAGGCATTAAAACAAACTACAAATGGATCATCTGTGAAATCTAAAGAGTCAAATAACAACAGTAACACCAATGATTTAAATAAAAAAGCTATACAATTAAAGAATGATTTATTACTTGCAGAATTGGAATATAGAAAGCAATACATAATCTTCATAGAAGATACTTATGGTAAATCAGATACAACAACGCACCAAAATGAAGTCTTACGTTTGAAATCATATGTCGAGACTTATAAACTTTTAGCTCAATATCCAAACACTGAATCATCTGATTTATTTGTTAACGTCCTTGGTATTAAATTAAAATATCAATTATTGTTGTTTGCAGAAGATCTTGAACTATTAGCATCAATTCATCAATATGCACAATCATTTACTAGTTTAGATCTTGAGGAACTTTCATCCAAGACAGAATCATTAATTGAATTAGTGAAAGAACAAGCTTTCAGAGGTTTACCTAATTTCAAAGAATTGAGAGATTCTTTATTCAATCAATTATCTAATGTAACATCATCATTTTCAAATTATTTCCAAGGTAAATGTGAAATTAAACAAGAGTTAGAAACTGTCAACACAATTTTGAATGTTTTAGGTCTCATAAATGATGATGAAATATCTCGTAGATTTTCAATACCCAAAGGCTCATTAAGTAAATTATATCAAGTTAATAACACAAGGAAACAAAAATTGGAAACAAGTTTAGAAAGACTTCAAATGCAAGAGGGAGAAGACCTTAAAGAAATCACCAAGATCGAGATAATAAGCTTCCAAGATCAACTAGAAGGATTTCTAAAACATTTATCTCAACTCCTAGCTACAAATACTTCAGATAGTTTACACCAAAAAATCGATACACTCTTAGAATTTACAACTAATCATGTTGATGATCTATTGAACTGGGAATGGGAACAACCTGATAAACAAACATGGGTTTTAAAAGAAGTTAAAACAAAATTAATTGATACCAAGGAAATGAGTTCATTACAACTAGATTTATCGAATGCACAAGAGCTTGGATCCAAAAAGGATAAACAAATTGAAGAATTGACTTTGAAAATTAATGTCTTAAGCTCAAGATTGAACATAAGTAAAGATACAGAATCCCAATTAAGAAAATTAAAAAATGAAGTATCAAATTTGAATGAACTTAATGAAGAATTAAATGGTAAAGTTTTCAATTTAACAGAATCCAATGAAAAAATGTCTAAAGATTTACAAAAAGCTAAAACCAATTCATTGCTATACAATTCACAATTTGAATCACTCTATGAACAAAAACAATATACTGATAGGGCTGAATTAGTCTCTGAATTACATGATTTACGAAATGTTGTTAAACTTTTAACTAAAAGAAAACAAAAACAAGAAAATAGAAACTGGTTAAGAATTGAATTCCCAAAATTCAATCCTTATGAAAAGACACAAGCTGATGAATTAAGAAATATTGGAAAAGATTTACAACGTGCAGTTAATAATGCAAAACTTTATTCAATAACTGATGGTGCTAAATGAGTTTTTGAAAAAAGTTCTCTTTCATGGTTTTCATCTTTTGGTTTTTTCCTCATTAATGGCCACTTTAAAGCCTTATCTATATTTTCCCTTGGATAAACCCATTCTAAAATTGCATACAAAAATATATCCACAATGAAACATAATACAAATAATTTCCCAGCCCATGCTCCACACATATAATATTTTCTAAATTGTTCTAATGTAGTTAATTTCGAAGATTCATCAATTGAATCATAAACATTTTCTGTCCTTATAGCAACATCTGTCCAATCATACATATGTTTAACTTCATCATGAAACTTTGAAGGATCAATTCTCTTTTCTTCAATAATTTTAATAGCTCGAAGCGTACTTTCCACTAGAGAATCAACTGCTGGATTTGCAAAAATTGTCATATCATTTGGTAAAACTTCTGGGATACCACCAACTCTTGTTGTAACGACTAACAATCCACATGAAGCAGCTTCAACAAGAACAGTACCGAAAGCTTCGGTTAATGAAGGATGTAAATAAATATGACCCTTAACCATAACATCTCTAACTTTTTCATGTTTGACACCACCTATTAATTCAACACGATCTTGTAATCTGTTTTTTTCAATTGATTGTTGAATATCAATAAATTTTGGTCCATCACCTGCAACAAGAAAATTAACTTTTGAATTTGCTTGACAAATCTTGGGTATCATACCTGTTAATAAATCAGCACCTTTATTAGGAAATAATCTTGAAATGACCACAATAGTAATTTTATCATCCTTTGGTTTTGAAGGGTCTGGTAAAAAATCTGTTGAAATAACTGCATTGGGTATAACTGAAACTAACAGTGGATCAATAGCACCACGTAGCACAATGTTTTCCTTACATGTATTTGAGACACAAATAACACGATCTGTACAATTCAAGGTGAATTTTAAAGCTTTATTACCCAATATACTTCCTGTATCAGCAAATCCATATAATGAATGATCTGTAAATACTGTTTTGAGACCCATAATAGACCCATGAAAAACTCCTTCATGTGCCAAACTACTCATTGATGCATGACCATGAACTATATCAATTGATTCTCTAATAAATATGTTTCGAAGTATTGGGAAACCTGAAAAAACAGTAGGAAATGTAGTTTGACGATAAAATACTAAGAATGGGATATAATAAACTTTTAAACCATTTGTTAGATACCGTACACCTTTACGATTTTTGTATGCATGTGTTATTATGATGACTGAATGGCCTTGTGAGATTAGTTTCTGATACTTCGTTAATAAATTGGTCCCTTTTATTAATATCAATGGAAACATACTTGTGAAAGATGATACATGTGAAATTCAACACCACCAGGTTGTGGGTAGAAAAAGTCACAAACCATTCTAAATTGTTTGTTAGTAATTGAAATCAGGAAAAAGTAGAGATTCTTTGATCAACACATACGCTATATTATAGCCCATCCTGACTGCTATTATAACTTCCAGATCCTCTTAGTTTTTGGTCTTATCGTCAACCATTTAGTTTGACACATTTCCAATATTTTGATTTGTATTTTTCAATTGTTTATACGCGATAATTAAAAAAGTCTTCATAATGGGTCTTAGTCTACTTCAGTCCTGAGACTACCTTCGCCATTGAGACTTTCGAGACTTTCTAAATATACGGGAAATTTGAATTTCTAACAACAAACAATTTGAAATCAAAAAGGCTTAAAACACACCAAGAATTCAACATTTCCAAACCGCCACTGAACTCCAAAACCTGGTATTAAAGAATTAGAGGATTCATAAAAGGGTTCTACAGAGGAAGAGTTTCAACCATGCCACAACGTTACGAGGAACTTCCCTCACACCCACCAGCCTATGATTTTGACGCTCCAAACGGGAGCCGCAGAGGGTCTGACGATGATATAGAAGCGGGATCCAGAGCTTCAGAGGATTCACTGACTAGAGAGATTGAAGAAATGGAAATAGAAGATGAACCCAGCTCTTCCAATAGACTGAGAGGATCTCTTTCCAGAGCGAGGTTTGCTGGTCAAAGAATTGCTCATAATTTTAGTTCAAAATTCATTTCACCTGTACAGAGAATATTGGACCCTGTTGCGGAAGGTTATCATACTTTATCTACAAAATTTGAAGCTAAATTATCTAAATTAGGAAATCCATTGATACTTAAGAGATTTGCCTATGTGTTATTTATATCCCTTATCATTTATGGTATAACTCTTGCTGGTCTGTTCCCAAGTGATAATTCTAAACAATATGGCTCATTTAGTGATAGGAAATTATTAAATGATTTTGTTAAAGAATCTATTGATTTAAGATCAATGGAGGAAAACTTGGAATATTTATCAACAGTACCACATATTGCTGGTACATCTGGTGATTTGACATTGGCAAGATATGTTGAATCTTATTATAGACAACAAAATTTAAAACTGGTTGATTTTGAAGAATTAAGAACATTATTAAATTTCCCAAATAAAACCACATTGAGTTATGAAGATCAAACTATAGATATTACAGAACAATTTAATCCATTATCCAAAGATGCTAAACATACAGGTAATCTAATTTATGCAAATTATGGTAGAAAATTAGATTTTGAAAAATTAGAATCAAATAAAATTAATTTAAAAGATTCAATTGCTATAATAAAATATGGTAAAATACCAACAAGTTCACAAATATTATTAGCTGATACATTTGGATGTAAAGGTGTTCTTTTCATTTCAGAAACCGAGGATTATCCAGACACTTATGAAAGAAGAAGTGTTGGTATACCAGAATTTTATCCAGGTGATCCATTAACACCAGGTTGGTCAACCAGTCAATTACCAAATAGAATGCATATGAATGATGCAAGTATGGCTAAGATTCCAAGTGCAGTATTAACAAGAAATCAAGCCAAACCATTATTAAAATCATTGGAATCAAAAGGTATAAAATTTGATGATGGGTTTTCAAGTGGTGATGGACAATCATATCAAATTACTTTAGATAATCATGTTACATATAATCAAGATCATGGTATTTGGAATGTATTGGGTAAAATTGAAGGTAAAGAACAAAGTGATAAAGCTTTAATAATTGGTGCACAAAGAGATTCACCATGTAATGGAGCAATTTATCCAAATACAGGTACCACTATATTATTAGAATTGGTTCAAGTTTTTGATAAATTAAGAAGAAATTTCAATTGGACACCGTTAAGATCTATTTATTTTATTTCATTTGATGCTACAGAATATAATTTCGCTGGTGTTACTGAATTAATGGAAGGGAAAGTTCGTGAAATACGGAAAGAAACTACAGCATATATTGATTTAAGTGATGCTGTTGCAGGTGATCAACTTGAAGTATCATTAAGTCCTATATTGAGAGGAATTTTTAAACAATATCAAGAAGAATTTCAATATACTGAAAAACCATTTGATGAATATAAAAATACATTACCATTTATAACAGAAGGTGTTCCAATAATTGATTTTGGTTATAAAGGGTTGAAATATCCAAAATTTACATGTCAAGATACATTTGAAAATTTTAAACAACATGGTGATTCAGATTTTTCCAAACATGCCAAATTAGTTGAATTTATTTCCAAGATTGCACTTCATATAATTGAAGATCCATTAATACCATTTGATGTTACAGATTATGTTGAAGGATTAAATGATTATTTTAAAGATTTACAAGCATATGCCAAATTTATTGGTGGTGAAGGTGAAGATAAAATAAATTTTGGTCCATTAATGGAAGGTTTATTAAGATTGAAAAAAGTTGGTAAAGAATTAGAATTATGGGCTAAAGCATGGAAAGAAATTGTTGATGAAGATAATGGAACAGAACCATCACTGTTATCAGTTCATAGATGGAATTGGAATTCTAAATTAAATCAAATTGAAAAATTATTCTTATCAGATGATGGTGGATTACCAAATAGAAGATGGTATAGAAATTTAATATTTGGACCACAATTTTGGAAACCTGAAGAAGGTGATTTCAATTGGTGGACATTCCCAGGTGTTAGAGATGCGATTTTTAATCAAGATTGGAAATTAGCACAAGAAGAAGTTGATCGTGTATCAAGAGCATTAACTGACGGTGCAAGTGTCTTTGTTTCTTCATGATGTGCACATTTGATTAAGTGTTTTATGATACCATTTATTTATATACTATATGACTTACAATTTATGACGTTGATTTATAAGTTTTTGTTTTGTAAAATTTGTAGTTTATATGTCAAATTTTCGTCACGTGAAGTTATTGTTATATTTTTGATCGTAAGTTTAAACCACAAACACAATTATAAAGCTAAACGAGATTCCACAATTGAACAAGAAAAGAAAGAACCATTCAAGTTCTATAAACACATTGGAAATACTCATAACTCATCATACAATTACACAGAATGTCATTTATTAAGGAATTTTTCTTCCCTTCAAACAAAACTGAAGACCCAACAGCTGATGATTCAACCTCCACAACCAAAACAGATCCAATTGTAGAAGGAATTTTCACTCCAAGAACTCTTTCAAATTTCAATGGACATGATGATCCAAAGATATTCATGGCAGTTAAAGGTACAGTGTATGATGTTAGTGCTGGTAGATCTTTTTATGGTCCAAGTGGTCCTTATTCAAATTTTGCAGGTCATGATGCTTCAAGAGGTTTAGCTTTGAATTCATTTGAACTTGGTGAGTATTTTATGTGCTTGTTTTTGCTTTGTAAAACGTAATTACTAACAGAGATTATAGATAACATAAGAGAATTTCATGAACCAATAGATCCTTTAGATGATTTAACTCCACAAGATAAAGAAGCTTTAGATGGATGGGAAGAACATTTCCAAAAGAAATATCCAGTCGTTGGTAAACTTGTACCAGGTAATTGAACTTTCATAGAATGGTATGAAGCTACGTTATGGCTTCATGAATGAGAGTGATATATGATCTTCATCAGTTGAAGTTTGAATAATGGTTTAATTTAATTTATGATTATTTATGTTTGTTAATTACGTAGTAGACGGATACAAGTAGAGGAATGCTTGAAAATGATTCAAATTTGATGGTTTAAAAGATAATATAACCTGCAAACTGCTATTAATAAACCAGCTTAATCGTAATCATCTCTTCAAAGTTCCAATTGTCTGTTAAATATCAAGTCTTTTTGATCTTTATGCCATATTTTAATTCTCACCACGAAATCCCAAATCCCAATGCTTTTAAAAACCTGAAAAAGTTCGCCAATAACCTACAAAACTTGTAAAACAAATCATCAACTATCTTTCCACCTCATATACATATTATTAAAATGGCTCAACCAATTGCTCTTGATGACTTAACTGTCAACAACAAAGAAGTTCTTCGTAAAATCAACGAAGTTGTCCTACCGACAAGATATCCAGATGAATTTTATTCAAAAGCTTTACAATCCGGTGAACTTGTTAAACTTGGTGAGTATTATATACCAAAACCCACAACAAGAATTTCATTTACTAACTCTTTTGATAATCAGCATTCTATAGTGAAATCCCAGTTGGTGCTGTCAAGGCTAAACTAATTGTTCCACAACATCATTCAGTTCCAACTTCAATTTATATTGAATCAATAGCAGTTTTAGAACCATATAGAAATTTTGGTATTGGTAAGAAATTTATACAACATTTAGAAGAACAAGCTAAAATATCTTATATACATGAAATTACTGCGCATATTTGGATTAAACAACCTGAAATATTAGAATGGTATCAAAAACAAGGTTTTGAAATTAAAGGTGAAGTTGAAAATTACTATAAAGATCAAAAATTAGATGAACCTACTGCAATTGCAATTAGTAAGAAATTTTAATCTACAATGAATATTATGTGATTAGATATATTTTGGACTTTATTACCTAAATATTGTAGTATACAAAATATGATGAATTAATGATAATGCAAAGAATATAGAAAGCAAGAAAAACAAGAAAATAAACAATTGTTAAACTTAATTTCCTTCAGCTTCATCTTCAGTATCAGTATTGATATCTTCAAAATCACTCAATTCTTCTTCAAATTCACTATCTTCATCATCACTATCATCATCAACTCTTTTAACTTTTTCACCTTTCATTTGTGCAACTGCACCAGCTAAAGAATCTTCATCAGGATCTGGAATATCATAATTAACTTCTTCTAATCTTGGTGGATTTTGAACATGCATTATCACAGGGAAATCTAAATCTTGTGTGAAATAATCTGTTGATTTTATAACAACTCTAAATTGATATTTACCTTCTTGAGCTGGTGTTGGTGATGTGATTGGGATTTTAAAAGTTCCAACAGAAACTTTTGATCCATCTTTATATTGTTCTTGAGTTAATTCCAAATTTGATAAACTTAATTTTTGGAAAAAAGCTGGTGATTCTGTAATTTTTGTATCTTTTTGTAATGAAGTTAATGCAACAAATCCACCTCTTCTTTCAGTTGGGAAAAATGGTGCAAATGATTTTGGTAATGATGGTTGAGCATTAACGATTTGATAAGGATCTCTAAGAGTTTCTAAAGTATCGTTTTCTTTTAATTTATCTTCTGAAATTTGAGTTTCACCATGATGTTTAGCAGATTTAACAACAACTTTAACAGAAATATAACAAGTTGATTCTGGTGTAACAACAACTTCACCTGGGACTTTAAATTCAGCTTTAATCAATTTTAAAATTGGAATATTTGTGGCAACATCTAAAGTTTCTTTTAATTTTAAGTCATCTTTAATACCTAAAGTTTTTTTAATTTCTTCATTACCTAAAGTTAATAATTTACCTAATCTAACAATTTTTTGTTCTTGAACAATGGTTTGATCAACATTTGGTAATTGTAATAATTCATTTTTGGTTGATTCTGGAACAGCTTGAACTAAATGTTTTAAAGTTTCAACAGCCATATTTGAAATTTCAGTATTTCTAAAAGAAGCAGCAAAATCAATTAACCCAGCAATTAACGAAGGAGTGATAGCAACAGCTTTCAATTGATCATCAGAGATTGGTGTTTTTCTATTTAAATGATTTTGAAATAATTGGAAAATTTCTTCATTTGATTTATTTGGGAATAAAATTTTAAATTCAGTTGCTTCACTTAACCAAGTTAAAATAGTATCAACTCTAACAATGATAGAAGGTTTATGATTTAATAATTTTTCCACAAATAAATTTGCAGTTTCAACATGAATACCCTTTTTAGTATAAGTTTTAGTTTTTGACCACCATGAACTAACAAAATATGGTAAAACACCACCAATTAAAACAATGTATAAAGCTAATAATAATGGTGAAGATTTACCCTCGATAAGGAATTTTGGTAAAGCAATACCATGAGAAGCTTGTTGAGGACCATCTGGATGACCATATTTTTCATAATTTTCTCTTGTAGTTTCCTCGGTTAATGCCTTATAAGCTTTAGTTAAAAGGACGAAATGTTCTTCAGATTTTAATTTTTCATCTTCAGATAAGTTTCTTTGTTTATCAGGATGGAATTTAATACTTAATTTTCTAAAATGAGATTTAATATCTTTTTCACTTGTACCATATTCAACACCTAATAAATCATATGGATCAAAAGCACTAACTTGTGTTTTAACTTCAGTGATACTAATATGATAAATCAAAGCACCAATTGATAACCAACCTAATAATATAAACAAGTTTTTCTTTGTGAAAATTTTGGATGGTTTCCTATTTGATCTAAATTTCTTAATTTGAGAATCAACTTTATCTAATTTAATTTCACCAACAATTGGTTCTTCTTTTGTAGAGCTGAAAGCATTTGAAACAGCTTGAATTGTGAATGGAATAAGCGTTACCACAAGGACTGATAATGTGAATACTGGCCAAGTTTGGGAATGCTCATCATAGTTATAACGTGAATCCATTTTGCTATGTGTCTAATATTGTAGTAATAATAATATAAGGAACCAGAAATAATAGCAGAAGGGAAAAACAGCAGCACCGTCAATTCTTTTTATATTATTTATAACAGAGAACAATTCTTAAAACCCTCTCAACAACCAATATAACTCAACCAAAAAGAATTGTCTCAAATCCACTCACTTTTGTTTACTTTAAAATGAGTAGTTTTAGAAATTTGAAGAACACGTCGAACGAAAAAGTCAAGAAATTCGCGGAAATGATTTGACCGTTTCAAAAATGACAGATTTTTTGATTTTTTTTTTAAACTTTCACGAAATTTTAATACCTTTGAAATCAAAATCAACTAAAATCAAAACACAAAGGTTGAACTTGTTGATTGAAATTGGATAGATATATTGGACAAGATGTACAGAGGTAGAGGCTCAGGAGGATATCGTGGTGGACGAGGTGGGTACCAGAGAAGCAACGGTGCCGGTGCTGACGGGATGGAGATTGAAGGTGGTGTGCGCAATAACGGTGCTGGTAATGGTGGAAGAATAACAGGACCAGGTGAACAGTTGAATCAATTGGCAAATCAAGCTGTGCAGCAGAACTCTGTGCCCGTTGAAGTTAGAGGATGGCAAGGTGGATCTAAGGATGATTTGGTTTCATTCATTTCTAGAAAGACTAGAATACCTTTACTTAATGCTGTTATTGAAGGTGATGCTATAAAAGGTTTTGTGAAAACTAATAGAGATGCTGAAGATTTGAAAAAATGGAGTGGTGTTAGATTTGCTGGTAATGCTTTAAAGATTGAACTACCTTCCTCGGGTCAACAGGGTAGTGCAATGGTATTATTGAAAGGTTTTTTACATAGACGTTATAATGCCAATGCCAAATTATTAGATTTAACAAATATTTCAAGTGATGCTGATTTACAACAAAATGGTGCATTCAGTTCATTATCTGTTCAATCTAAAATGTTCCCAGCTTTAATGAAATTAGCTTCAATGGAAAATTTTGATGTGGAAAGTGTAAATTTATCAGAAAATAATTTAGATGATATTTCAGGTATTACAACATTAGCTCAAACTTTCCCCAATTTAAAAAATTTAGCATTAACAAATAATAAAATTTCAAAATTAAGATCATTTGAAATTTGGAAAAACAAATTTAAAAATTTAAGAGAATTAATTATTGCAGGTAATCCAGTTACAACTGATCCACAATATAAACCAACAATTGCTAAAGTTTTCCCAAGATTAGTTATATTAGATGGAATTATGATTCGTGACGAGGGGAAATTACAATTAATTTATCAATTACCAATCCTTAAAAAGCAATTCTTTTTTGAAGATTCAGAAATTCAAACTTTATCAACACAATTTGTTTCAAATTTTTTACAATTTTGGGATAGTGATCGTACGCAATTATTACAATTATATTCACCACAATCACAATTCTCAATTTCTGTTGATTCAAGTGTTCCAAATGATTCTAATGCAAGTCAAATTTCATTTGGTTATTATATTCCAATTTCAAGAAATTTATCAAGAGTTTCATCAGAACGTACAAGACAACAAAGATTAGGTACAGGACCTGAATCAATTTTAAAACTTTTCCAAAATATCCCCAAGACAAAACATTCATTAACTTCAAATCCAGAATTATATTCAATGGAAGCATGGAGATTTCCTCAAGTTAATGGATTTATAATATCTTTACATGGTGAATTTGAAGAAGTTGGACATCCAGCAACCGATGCAAATCAACATTCAAACAGTTCCAGTTCTGGAAGAGGTGGTAGACGTGGTGCAATGACTAATAGTTCAACAAATAGATTAACCAAAAAATCATTTGATAGAGAATTTGTTGTTGTTCCAGCTAATGGATCATTAATTATTGCATCCGATTTATTAATAATTAGACCATGGTCAAATCATCAATCATTTGTGGAAACTACTATAACACCACCACCAACTGGTGAACAACAACCAATCCCACCACAATCACAAGGTTCAATACCAGGATCTTCACAAGCACAAATCCCACCATCATCATCACAACAACAGGCACCTTCTGTATTACCAACTTCACAACAACAAGCACAACAAATTGGATCTATTCCACAAGAATTATCACATTTATCACCAACTCAACAAGAATTTGTTATGAAAGTTATTCAAGATACAAAATTAAATTTACAATTTAGTTTATTATTATCAGAACAAAGTTCATGGAATTATGAAATAGCTATAAATGGATTTAAAGAATCTCATCAACAAGGTCAAATCCCACCTGAAGCATTCATGTAAAGAATGCTTTCAGAAAATTGTATATAGAAGAAGTTTAATTATTTTTTAGTATATTTTTAAATGAATGATTATATCTATAGAAAGATTCAAGATCTTTCTAATCACAATTTGGTATAAAATTGTTTATATTTAATCAGATATCTTCCAAGTAGGTAAACAACAACTACAAGTACTCTTTATTAAATTAAAATTATGATATTAATTAAAAGCTTTATATAAGTCATGATATGTACGCTAAACTTGAAAAAAAACTTAAATGATAAATGATATGATATGATTAATATATGAAAAACCAAAATAAAAATAATCTATATAACAAAAAAACATAAAAAAAGGATATTATTAATTAAATATTGTTCTTCTCCAACTTCTTACTCTCTCCTTACTCTCAGTAATTACTTTCTTTCTATACTCTATTAAAATTTTGTTCACTATCACTTGAACTAACCCCTTGATCTTTATTTTCTTCAGCTTCAAATTTGGCATTTTCTTGTTTTTCCTTAGCAATCATTGCACTATAACCATAACTTGATTTTTGTCTTAAAGCTGGACCCCATTTTTCAAAAACCCAAGGAACAGGAACCATAGCTAATGCAATAAAAGCAAATAATGAAGAAGCCCAATCAATACCTAATTTATCATACATTTGGACAGTAAATAATGGGAAAACTGAAGCAAGGACATAACGTAATAAATTATTTGCAGCAAGAGCAGATGCTAATGATAATGGAGGATAAGCCATTGAAAAATAAAGCACCACTGTGAAAAAGATTAAAATTAAACCAAATCCGAATAAGACACCTGAAATAATTGGACAAATCCAATGAACATCTTCTTTTGCAGACCAACCTAACCAAAATAATGAAGGTGGTAATGCCACAGCACCAACTTTACATATGATTAATCTTGATTCTGGGGCATCTAGGATTAATCTATTTTGATCATCTCTTTTACCACGAGTTCCATCTGGATTTTTCTTGAAATATTTAAATCTATCTAAGACGACATAGAATAATGTACCTAAGACAAGACCAACACCAACACCTAAGAATGCTAGACCTGAAATACCTAATGACATTTTATAAGTTCCTCTGAAAATTATTGGATAAGCTTCAAAGAACCCGAAAAGCACGGCAAAGACAAATGCAATATAAATTGAAAAAACCATAACAATTGGTTCAACAAATAACATCTTGATTGGAGTCATTAAAGTAACAAAGAATATAAATTTTAAAAATTCTAAACCTGATATTTTTGGTTTTTGTAATTTTAATCCACGTTTTTTAGCTCTTTTTTTCAATAATACAGGTTTATAAGTTTCTGGACATACTAAAACAGGTAATAATATAGCACCTGCAAACATTAAATTAACCCACATTGTCCATTCCCAAGTTTCATTTTCTGCAACAAATCCACCAATAACTGGACCTAAAACAGGACCCATGAAAGGAGCAAGACAAAACCCAGCCATTGCAAGACCCATCATTTCAAAATCCCACATATCTGCAATAGTACCACCTGCAACGGCCATTGCTGGTGAAGCGAAAAATCCTGCAAAGAATCTTAGGACTAAAACTTCTCTAATATGTTTACTAAGACCAACACCCATTGTGAAAAGCATTGAGATTGGTAATGAAGTGATATAAACAATTCTTCTACCAAATAATTCAGAAGCTGGTGCGGCTAAAGCAGGACCAAAAGCTAAACCAATCAAATAAAAAGTTAAACCTGATAAACCTAATTCTTGAGATATATGCATTTGTTTCATTAAATCTGGGACACCAGCAACGTATAATGAAGAACCAAATGAAACTTCTAAACAAATCATCGCAGTGGCCATTGTTATAGCCCATCTTTTCCAAGTTGGCCAGTTTTTTGGGTTTGCTTTATCATCTGGTCCATCCCAATCTAATGTAGCAGGATCAATTTCATTTGAATCTTCAATTATTTCATCTTGTTGTGGTTGGTGTGGATGACTTAGTGATTTTCTTGATAATGTTCTTTGTAAGGCTTCTGAATATTCTTCACCTTCAGTCTTGGTAAGATCTCTTGATTCTCTTGTTGGTGATGCGTATTCACCTTCTGTGAATGATCTTCTTGATTTTTTAGAAATTGTAGAGTTTCTTCTTGAATTTGAACCAGTTATATGATTTAATTTTTCCTGTGAAGAATTTTGTGGTGGGATTTTAGAAGTGAAATCTTGTTGTTGAATAGGTATTGGATCAATTGAATCTGATTGATTTCTTGAATGATTTTTTTCATCATTTGGATTGAATGGTTTTTCAAAAGTTTCAGCAGATGATATGGTTTGATTTTTTTGTAAAGTTGCAGTACTTGATGTTCTTGTTATGGCTTGTTGAGTTGAATCATGATCATTATCATTTTCTAAATCACTTTCAGGATTTTCCAATGCACTTTCATAATCTGTTGTATTTACTGTGGATAAATTATTTGAAGAAGCAATAGAATGATTATAAGGTTTATTATTGTTGTTTAGTTCTGATTGAGCGTTTCTCAAAGCATCTTCTTCCTCTTTGGAAGGACCTAGGATACCCATTGTGCTAGAATGTTTACCTTGTGAATTGGTTGTTGTTGATTGTTTTGTTGTTGTTTGGGAATCGAATTCTTTATATAAAATATAAATTTTTTCAAGCCGAGGTTGAATTTGACACCGAAATCAAAACAAGGTGATTATCGGAAAACAAATTGTAAGAACTAAGAAATAACTAGTAATAATAATCAGTACAAGACTATAAGTAATAAGTAATAAGTACAAGGAGTTATACTTAAGGTTATACAAGATAGCAAGATTGTATTCAACAAGTCTTACTGGAATAGGCAATAAAGCACTTCCACTTATGTCCTGTCACTGGCTTGTCTGTGTTCAATGTTGATCTCTGAACAAGGCAGATCTCATTCCATCCACAAGTTCATACCAAGTGAAGTGAAGTTAAGATAAAGTTAAAGTAGGCGTAGTACTATTCCCAGTATACCCTCTACTACACTACAATACTTATAAATCCACTTCATTAATGCTTCTCTGCTTAAACAAATCTCGGTTTTAATAGGTGATATTCGTCTTTAACAACAAGATTTCAAGATTTCTAGAATACTTATTAACCGAGGAGCTTTTAATAGTATGGCTGAAAATATTATGTAATGTATTATGTAGTCATTTATTCATTTCTTTTGATTATGTCATCGTAGTCGTGTGTCTTAGTCAGCATTTATTATAGGGTATAATTTTATATACTCTCTTGTTCTGATTGTTATTGGAATATTGGAGTATTGATTGTTATTGTTATTGTTATAGATCTTTTTGTTTGTGTTTGTGTTTGTTGCCTGTAATCACATTATATACGTGACGTCAAATGTCATGGAGTAACTTGTTGTAAGCCACTGGGAGCCACTATCATATCTGCAAAGATCATCAACTAGATAACGTCCTATAAACATTGGCATTGATAATGATGAGATGTACAAGTATATATAAAGACTATGATCAGACCATAACATTGATTATACTATACATAATATATATCACATACTAAGTTACTCCCCTATCACTTTATGACTCTTCACCCTTATCATGACTAATCTTAACCTCATCGGGGCAATCATTTACCTAATCTGAAAAAAAACTTGAACCCTATATATAAAACTGTTAGTACTTCTAGGAGCTATTTCCAACAATCCACAACATCACAACCAAGACTCCAATGATAATATTAAGATGTCCTCCAATTCAGTACCATTAGGTGATATCATCTATACAGCAGTCAAACCAATATTCAAGATTTATATAATCATATTCTTAGGTTTTTTAATTGGTCGTAAAAATATTTTAACCGTTCAAACTGCAAGAACAATAAGTGATATGGTATTATTTATATTATTACCTTCATTAATTTTTAATAAAATCGTTACAAATATTCAAAATTCAGATATAAAACAAATTGGTATTATTGTATTAATTTGTCTATGTCTTTTTTCAATGGGTGCAATTTTCGCTTTATTAAGTCATTATTTCACTAGAGGACCACGTTATTGGAGAGGTGGGTCCCTTATGGTGGGGCTTTGCCCCAATATAAGTGATTTACCAATTGCTTATATGACTACTTTTGCTGGTGGGATAGTTTTTAATGAAGAACAAGGTGAAAAAGGTATAGCATATATTTGTATGTTTACAATGGTTCAAATTTTAATGCAATTTAATTTGGGGACATTTAAATTAATTGCTTGGGATTTTAATACCCAATTACAAGAAGATTCAGATATTGAAAATAATCCTAAGGAAATGTCAACAACTCAAACTAATCAATCTTCAATTTCATCATCATCATCTTCAAGAGAATCATTTGACCAGGAACAAAATCAAATCATCCCCTTGGAAAATTTACAAAGATCATCAACTTCGAATTCTCAACATTCATCACATTCAACACAATCTATACGAAGACAAAGATCTCAATCTATTCATGATGTTATTAATGAATATTCTGAATCTGAAAGAATAAGATCTGGTAAAGTTGAACCAATTCCAGGTGATTTCACAGATTTAACAACAATCCCAACAAAACAACCCCCTGCTAAAGGTAATTGGAAAACTATCCCCAAAAGATTATTTTGGTTCTTTTTGGATAATTTCACCAAACCAGTGAGTTTAGCATGTACAATTGGAATAATAATATCAATGATTCCATGGGTAAAAGCATTATTTGTCAAGACAAATCAAACTTCATTACCAAATGCACCAGATCAAGAACCCCCATTATCATTCATAATGGATTTCACAGGTTATTTAGGACAAGCTACCGTGCCACTAGGTCTTTTAATCCTTGGGTCAACATTATCAAGATTAGAAGTTAAATCCTTAGGAAATTTTAAAATTTGGTCAACTCCATTAGCATTAACATTCATTAGATTAATCCTTTTACCAATAATTGGAGTATTAATAAATACAAGATTATCCAAGATTGGTTGGTATAAAGATGATGAAATTTTACAATTTATTTGTACAATGGTTTTTGGATTACCAAATGCAACTAGTTTAATTTATATTACTGCATTTTTCACACCATTAGAGGGAGATTTTAAACAAATGGATTATTTGGCATTGACTTATATTTTGGAGTATCCTATATTAGCTATTAGTTTACCATTTTTAACAACTTATACTGTTAAAGTTTGTCTAGGGATGTGATAATAAGCGTTTGAAGCGCTAGCTTCATAGCTTGAACATGATAGTTTAACCAAAAGTATATAATGATTAATGAGATAATGACTTTAATACCACAATGTAATAACTACAACTTCATCAAAACATAAAAACATTCATTAAAATACATTAAAATATATCGAAAACGCAGTTACAAAAAACACCACATTAAATTATCCCAAAAGAGATAATTTTGGTATGTTCGGTATGAGGTCGTGTTCGACTAGTGGGCTATTTTTCTAGCGGTTCTTTTCCCCTCCATTCATCAAACAAATTAAAATAATGATGCAGTGAATAGAACGCATATTTCGTATCAAAGAAAAGGAAAAAAGTTATATGTAAAAGTGAAACTTTTATTAACTGATTTGAAAATTTTTATACTTGAAATAAAAAATCGCGAATTTAGATGTTGGGATTACCATTTTGGGGGATTTTTAGTTTTTTTTAGGGCATATAAATTTAGATGGTAATCAAGTAAAACTGGGTATTAATTGATTGATATCTGGGGTAACAAACTGTGAATTTGCTAAATTATTATTGTTTTAGAGGTATTCATCAGGTATTATGGGACTCTTTATCAAATCTATAGTGGAGAATCCAAACATCAAACTGAAAAGGGTAAGAATATCAGAAGATGAATCATTACCACAACTGTCACAATCACAATCACAAAATGGGAATAGAAATAGACAAACAGGTGGTTTGGTTAGAAGAAATGCTATTAGAGGTCGTTGGATAAGAAGATTTCAAGATTCAAATAGAACAGGTGTTCCAATACATATATATGAACCTCCATCATTTGATGATTTTGATAGATCAAATAATCAAAGACCTGTTATATCTAATTCAAATGATAATTTAAATAGAGAATTACCATCACCACCAATAATTAGGGAATCAAATAGACCACCACGTTACCCACTGCATTTACCCTCACCACACCCGGCTCCTTTACAAAATGATTTCTCACCACCTCTGAATTATGAAGATCATTTAGATGGTTTATCATTAGGTGAATTAGAAGATCGAGCAAATCAATTAAGAAGAACTTTAGATGAAAGACATGATATTAGAGTTGATGAATCTGAACTAGAGGCTCATCGTCAACGTGAAAGACATGGTGAAAGACGTAATGCAATGCATCGTGAAATACGAGCACCTTTATGGTTTGGTGATGTTGGATCAGATTTACCTTTTGATCAAGATAGAGAAGATAGAGAAGCTAGAACACATATGTATGTTCAAAGAAATCTTGATATGCGTAATCATAGAAGATTACCACCTTCAAATTCAAATTCAAATAATGAATCAAATAGTGATAATAATCCAAATAATTCAAACAATCCAAACAATCAAAATGTTCTGAATACTAATAATCCAAGACTAATGTTTGAAATTAGAAGACGTTCATTAGGTAGACAAAGACAAAGACAACGTGGTCCTCAAAGAACAAGAGGGGATCATAGAAGACTTGTAAGAGTTAGTGGTGGTGAACCTGAACGTCTGAATCTTCATCAAGTTGTTCAGTTTGGTCAATTATTCCCTAGACAAATGGGACAAAATGAACTTTTAAATTCAAATAGATCAACAAATCAAGAATCACAAAATCATAATGAAAGACCAAGAATGACATTAAGCTCAAGATTAAGACAAAGAACAAGATCTCAAAGATCTGGAAATTTATCACTGGATGATATTCAACCTCAACCCCAACCACAACCACAACCACAACAGCAACAATCAAGATCATCTGAACCATCAAATGAACAAGATGAATATGATCAACTGATTAATGGAACTGAACCAAGTAATAATTGGAGAAATCGTACAATTCAAATCCATAGAGCTAATAATTCATCAAATAATTCATCAAATAATACCCAAGAAACACAAGAAACAACAAGACATCGTAATAGAAATTCATATGTTATATTAGAAAACGGTGAAAGTGATGCAAGTTCTGATAGTGAAACACCTTTACAATTCGATGCTGGACATTGATTTAATAGACGTTTTTTTTAGTTTATACTCATCTTAAAAGAGATGTATACCCGTGCTCGGCGTAGTTTAGTTGCAATTATCCACCAAAACTAGACAACGGATCCGTCTATGATAGAATGAATATAAATGAAGTCAAAGCCCATAAGTATAAAACTTGAAGACATTCCATCTTATTTATATTTCAAAGATCCCCATTAATCCTTTTAAAATTGATCAGTTGTATGCAGCGCAGTTCCATTTTATCGAAAAAATCAGTACCGAGAAATTCGTTTATCCCCCGAAGAAAAAAAGAATTCACCTGAAAAGTTCAAACTACACTAAAACTAATTCAAAAGCTTATAATTAGAGTTATAGATCATAGATCTCTATCATACAATCAAATTAACATAGTATAACACACTGTCATTTGTTTGATAGTGATTGAAAAAAAGAGAATACCCCAGAATACCCAAAATGCCTGCAGAACAACAAAAATTTATACTAGACACCCCATCTTCTCCATCAAAATCATCATCACATATAGAACCAATAATAACACCTGAAGAAATTGATTATGAATCACTTCCAGAAGGTACAACATTAACGTCACAATGTATAGCTGGTGCATTTGCTGGTATATTAGAACATACAGTGATGTACCCCGTTGATGCAATAAAGACAAGAATGCAAGTTATGAATTCTCAAGGTAAGAGTAATTTAAGTGGTAGAGTTATTTCATCATTATATAAAATATCATCAACTGAAGGTTGGACAAGTCTTTGGAGAGGTACTTCATCTGTTATATTAGGTGCTGGACCTGCACATGCTGTTTATTTTGGAACTTATGAATATGTTAAAAAGCAATTGATTCATGAAGATGATAATAGTCATCAACCTCTTAGAGTTGCAATTGCAGGTTCTGCAGCTACGGTGGTTAGTGAAGCTTTAATGAATCCTTTTGATGTTATTAAACAAAGAATGCAATTACATACTGGTTTACAAAAATTAGGATTAGGTGGGACTATTGCAAAAGTTTATCAAAAAGAAGGTATCAAGGCTTTTTATTATAGTTATCCAACAACAATAACAATGACTATACCTTTCACTGCATTAAATTTTGTTGTTTATGAAAGTTCAGCCAAGATATTAAACCCTAATGGAGAACATGATCCTTTAAAACATTGTATTGCAGGTGGGTTAGCAGGTGGTGTAGCATCAGCTTTAACAACTCCATTAGATTGTATCAAAACTTTATTACAAACAAAAGGTGAATTTCAAGATGTAAGAATTCAAAATACAAATTCACTTTATGGTGGTGCAAAAATAATATATCAATTAGATGGGTTCAAAGGGTTTTGGAAAGGTATTAAACCAAGAATTATTTCAAATGTTCCTTCAACTGCAATTTGTTGGACTGCTTATGAAATGGCAAAATATTATTTAACAAGAAATCAATCTACAAGTTCACCATTGTCATAGATAATTAAAGTCTAATCATTGATACAAAACTTAATATAAATAAAATATGTACATAGAAACGGGAGGAAAGTTACCACTGATGTTGTTGGAAATTCATTTCAGACAATTCTTTATTCCAAGAACAAAATGGTTGAAATTCACAATATTTACAAATTGAATTAAATTTCATACCTGTAACAGGTTCAGGATCCCTTCTACCTAACCAAAATTCTAAACCTTTAGCCACAACAACTGAAGTTTCATTTTCATCATATTGGAAATTTAAAGTATGGAAATTTTCATTTTGATAATAATATTCCACTCTAAGATCTCCATGACTTAATTTGGAGATGAATCTGAATATATGTGATAATCTTGTTATGAAATATCTTGTAGTTGGTATAGTTTCCCATGTCGTAAGGAATGGTTCAACTATTTTTAACATTTCTGGATCATGAATTTGATTTTTAAGGTATGATAAATCATATTTCATATATTTTTGAGAATGATTATCAAATAATGGATCATCAATTGATTCACCATCTCTCATTCTTTCAAAATCTTTAAAGAAAATTGGATATGTATGAATCAATCCTAATATAATTTCAGGTGATAAAGGTTCATCAATATTTAATTTTTTCCTGAAACAATATTCTTCTAACCATCTAACACCATTATTATCTTCTCCCAAGACATCTAAGAATTTTTTATAAATCATAACTTGATCTTTAGCACTTTTCAAAACACTTTCTTGATTTGGTATAAATCTTCTTGATCTTGTCTTAACATCACTAACAACTAATCTATATCTATCTTCCAATGCATCACAAATATCATCTCCAAATTCCACGATATCTTTTAAATCATCAAATTGATTAAATTCATATTCTAATGGTCTATTGGTGTCTGAACTTAATAAAACTAAATGATCAATAACACCAGTAACAATCATTGTTTCATTTTTAACATCCTTAGAATCTTCCACAACTCCAAATTCATCAATAAATCCATGAACATAAATTTCTCTAGCACGACCTTTTGTTAATAATGTAATCAGTCTATTTAAAGTATCAACAATACTTTCAGCATATATATCAATAGGTTTCCTTATAAATTCAGGTATAGCTTCCTCCACAGTGGTCATATCAACTAAAGGATGAGTTTCTAATTCTAAAGCTAAATGTGATTCTTTCCCACGTCTCATAGCCTCAGTTTCCTCTCTAGCAGCCATTGAATAAACATCATACCAATCTCTTAATTCACACCATGATTGTGTAAGTATTTTCGTGACACTTAATCTTGGGAATTTGGAAACTGAAGTACCTGAATGACTTCCAACACCAGGATCAAGTTTTTGATCATCTCTAGGCGTGGTATATATTTGGAAAGGTGTGGGTACATGTTTAGGACGTTGATAAGTTAGGAGTCCTTCTTCGTTTAATGGTATATATGTTGATATTGATTGGATTTTTGGTGGATAAATTATTTGTTGTTCATGTTCATGTGGTGGTAATGCTTGCACAAATGATGATTCACGAATCATTTCTATTTCATTTGGTGTTAATGAAGTATCTTCGGGTTCTTGTTCTTGATTGGACATTGTTTGGGTATTATGATCATTGGATATATCTGTGGGTAATGGTGGTGATGAAGGTTTGGGTATTTTAAGTATTAGTGACTGAAGTGAAGATGTATTGATGAAACGATTCATAGGACGCATTAAAGGCTTTGTGTTAAATATGACAGATGACTTGTACTTTTTTATTCTGTGCATATATTTGTTAAATTTGTTATTGTTTCTTCATATAATTCTCTTGATGTTTTTTCTTGATTATTGATTTTACTAAAATGTGATGTATCATAAAATTGATGATTTTGATATTTTCTTTTGATCAATATTTTGATGATTTTGATTAATAAATACAATAAATATATAATACAGTGATGATATTTAGTTCTTATTCATAAATAACTGGTTGAGTGGTTGCTTTTTGGGTGGTTGGAATGTCTTTTAATTATTTAAATGAGATGGCGGCCAATACACTAATATGATTACCAATCCTGTTTGAACAACAGCAAAAAAGCTGATCTGACTATATTTCAGCAGGAATTTAATATCAGACTCCTCTTTCCCAGCACTATGATCAAGCAATAATGTGAAAATTCCCTGTTTACAACCGGCTGAATCCAAAATTAATTATATGTCAAAATCACGTAAAATCAAAGCGATGAGTATAATTTAAAAATCGGTCTTTACGAATTTTTCAGATCTCGGTATATGATATTTACGTGGAATCGTGGAATAACATAGCAATTACACCAAAACAGAGCATAAAAAGAACAGAAAATTATCAATCAAGAACAAACATACCACATATCCATAAATTATCGATTTCTTACCAAAATGTCATGGCATTGACACGTCTTTCATACTAATTTCTATCAAATATGTGCCTCCTACCACTATTTATTCATCCGCGAATTTAAACTTATTAAAATCCGCGAATTTTTTTGTTTTTGCCCAAAAAAATCAAAAAAGCTCAAATTCGAAATGCAAAGTTGTAATAAACAAAGCGTGAAGAAAGTCAATAACAACTGTTCGGGAACGTCAAGTTATCGCTGGATTGAGTGGAACACTGGTCATTTGAGTACTACTAGAGGGAGAAGAATTGCTGCCGTTTTTTTTTGCAGACCAAATTGACTACGTAACGAGTGCTCGAGGAATATTGGTGGTATAACGCGATATATTAATTCAAGTCCCATCAAAACAATAGAATAATAAAGTGATAATTGACTGGATTCAATTAATATTGGTTGTATTTGCAGATATTATTTTGCTAAGAAAGGTATAGCTAGGCTCAGAAGTATTGATTACTTGAGCTTAATCTGGAAACTACATATACATACATTATATCCCTACATCATGAGTGAAGAAACATCAAACCTACAGAATCAACAAAACCAAGAATCAGAACAACAACAACAATCAGTGAATCAGCTACAAGATGATAAGATAGTAGACTCTTCTGATCAAAGTGATTCTGGTTCAAGTTCTGACTCTGAAGATCAATCAAATGCAGATGATGGTGATAATGAAGACAGAAGTACTCCAAGTCAACAAGAACAAGAAAAAGGTGAACCTCATATTCAACCAAGAGTAGAAATCACACAAGCCAACCAAACAGAAAGTAAAGATCAGAACAAATCTGAACATGAACAATTACAAGAACAAAAAGAAGCTGAATTACAAGAAGCTAAAGAAGTATTTGCATCTGGTTCAAATGATAGAAGAATTTCTCAAGATCCACCTTCATCTGATGAACCTAAAGAAACTGATGCTGATGATCATGAAATGATTGCACTTGGTGCTGATATTGAATATAAAAATGGCGAAACTTCTAAAACTTCAGAAGGTTTGGATGCAGAAAAAATTAAAACTTTAAGTGCTAAGGAACGTGAACCATTAGAAAGAGTTGATTCAAATGATAGTAAAGCGTCTAAATCAAGTTCAGAAAATGAAATTGGTAGTCATATTGCTCCAAGTGTTACTGATTTATCAAATGAAAGTGATCAAAAATCAAATGAACCACAACAACAAAAAAATGATTTAGATGGTGATATTTCAATTCCAGATGCTAATCAAAGTGAATATGAAAATGAAAGTGGTAATGATGATGAAGAAGATGATGAACCAAGTGATGCTGAAGAAGATCAAATAGATGAAGATGAGGCAGATGGTAATGTACGGAAATCTGGTTCAAGATCAAGATCAAGAACACGCACTGCAGAACCAAAAGATAAACAACAACAAGAACAACAAACTGAAGAACAAACCACATCAAAAAATGAAGAAGAAGCTGTACAAACTGGAACAACTGAAGCTAAACCAGATGTAGATTTATCCAAAGAGGAACATGAACATGATCATGATCATGAGCAACAAAAAGATGAACCATATATTCCACAAACTCATACAATTGTGATACCTTCATATGCATCATGGTTTAAATTTGATCAAATTCATCCAATTGAAAAAGAATCATTACCAGAATTTTTCACAAATCAAATTCCATCTAAAACTCCACAAATTTATGTTAAATATAGAAATTTCTTAATTAATGTTTATAGATTAAATCCAAATGATTATTTAACAGTTACAGCAGCAAGAAGAAATTTGGTTGGTGATGTTGGTACAATTTTAAGAGTTCATAGATTTTTATCAAGATGGGGTCTTATTAATTATCAAGTTGATGCTCAAGATAAACCAACTCCTGTTGAACCTCCATTTACTGGTGATTATACTGTTACTTATGATGCACCAAGAGGTTTATTCCCATTTGAATCATTCAAACCTAATTTAGAACAAACAAAATTAGATAAATTAAAAGAATTAAAAGATTTAAAACAAGGTACCAAGAGAGAATTAAATGGTGATGATAATAATTCAAAAAAAGAAGACCCAAAAGATACTACTACCACAGCAAATGGTACAGATTTCAAAAAACCAAAAATTGTTAAAAATATAAATGATGGTTGGACTAGAGAAGATTTGAAAAAATTATTAGAAGGTATAACACAACATAAAAATGATTGGGAATCAATTTCAAATCATGTGGGAACTAAAACTGTTGAACAATGTATTATTAGATTTTTGAAATTACCAATTGAAGATCAATTCTTGGGAGATTCAAAACAAAATTTAGGACCATTAAAATATGCACCATATTTACCATTTCAACAATCTGATAATCCAGTTTTATCTACAGTGGCATTTTTAGTTTCTTTGGTTGATCCAGAAGTTGTTAAGGCTGCTACATCAAGTGCCATTCAAATTATTGATTCTAAAGATGTTGATAAGACATTAAATGAAGAGGAAAAAGGTGAAACTAATGTTACAAATGGAATTGAAGAAAGTGCTAAAATTGCTTTAAGTACAGTAGGAGTCCGTGGTCATGTTTTTAAGACTAATGAAGAAATTGAAATGAATAAATTAACAAATGTTATTGTTAATACTCAATTACGTAAAATTGAATTGAAAACATCACAATTAAATAGTATTGAAAAAGAATTAGATCTTGAAAAAAAAATATTACAAAAACAACAAGAAGATTTATTTTTAGATAGATTATCATTTACTAAGAATTCAAATCAAGTAATTTCAAAATTTGATACCATTTTAGGGAATCTTCAATCTTCATCAACTACATCACCAGATGTTCAACAATTATCTAATCTAATCTCAGAAGCTAAAGAATTATTATCCAAACCTGTTAGAGCTGAATTATCATCATTTGATTTATCTAAAAGAGATTCCAAATCAGGGACAGTTGATCATACTAATGAAGATGGTGAAACTAATGGTACCGGCCCAACTGTTGATGATGATGATTTGAAACCAATATCAATTGAAACTCCTCAGACTTATAGATACTGGAGTGGTTAAGAGTATTCTTTCAATTGATTGTGTATGTTTGTAATTTGTATAAATAATTTTAATGTTTTATAATTCACTTAATTAATTTGTATGTAATTATTATCAATGGAATTCGCGGGTATATTAACACGTCAAAATCTCAAATTATCAACAATATCAACACAAGACAAACAAAACATCAACAGAACACGACCAGACCACCACAGAATTAATACTTAGCTGATACAATGTCCACACAGTCCACGTTCGAAAAGGCGCTACTGCACTGGTCTGAAGTCAATCTCCCGCAATTGCAACAATCATTGGATGATCCAGCTACTCAGATCCATCAAACCCAAGAGGAAACCCTTTCTTCACGTAAAACTTTAGCTCAACGTACCAAAGAATTTAAAAAATTAGAAGAAGATTCTAAATTGAAAGAAATTAAACCTTTATTGAAACTATATCAAACAGAAATTGATACTTTAACAGAAAGGGCCAAATTAAGTGAAGGTGCTTTTTTCAATGTTTATAGAGCTATAAGTGAATTACCAGATCCAAAACCATTATTAGAAGTTTCATTAGATAGTGTTCTTGTTGCTCAAGAAGTTGATTCATTAAAGAAAGAAAATGAAAATCTAAGAGATGAATTATTAAAATATGCAGATTATGAACAATTAAAACAAAGATTATTAAGATCTGAAGAACAAAATGTTGAACAATTAAATAATAAATTAAAATTAAAAGAAGAAGAATTAAAAGGTGAATTTGAAGAAAAAGAATCAAACTGGAATGAAAAAGAAATCAATTATCAAAAACAAATTGATTCATTCCAAAAACAAATTATTGACTTGAAAACTCAAAATGAAGTTGATGGATTAAGATTACAAAATCAAGCTTCAATAGATTTTGATGATTCAGGGAACTCAGTTAAGAATGAAGATTTAGAATTCATTAAAAGAGAAAATGAAAATGTTCATCTTAGAAATTTACAATTAGAAAAAAGAAATCAAGATTTAAGTAAAGAATTAAAAATTATTAAAAGTGATTCAGCACAAAAAGAAGTTCAATATGCAAATGAATCTAAGATTAATCAATTAGAAAGTGAAAATGCTACATTAGTTGCTAAATTAGATTATGAATCTCGTAGTTTTGAAACAAAACAACAAAAATCCTCTACAGTTATAAATTCATATAAGAGAGATATTGATCAATTAAATAATGAATTGAAAAATTTGAAAATCAAGATGAATTCATTCAAAGATTATGATGATTTAAAACATGAATTGAATACATTAAGAACAATTGCATTTGGTTCAAATGATGATGATCAAGATGATCAAGATCAAGATCAAGATGATGAAGAATTAGGTGATGAACCAATAAAATCAAGTTCATCAGGTCTTGATGAAATTTTAGTTTCAAGAAATAAAAAATTAACAAATGAAATTACAAAATTTAGATCAAAACATGAAGAATTAAATGAAAAAATTTTAAATTTAGAAAAATTATTAAATAAATCAAATAATGAAGTTACAAGATTAGTTTCATTAAATAATCAATTAGAAAATGATTTAAGTTTATTTAATCAATCCAAAATATCAGATAATATAAGTATGATTTCAGGTGTAACAAGAAATACAAGAGCACCAATTCCAACAACTAGAGGAGGTAGATTATCACCAACATCATCAATAGCTGGTGGGTTAGATCCTAGTACACAATCAAATGTTGAATCTGAATCATCAGTATTACCAATTATAACATCACAAAGAGATAGATTCCGTTCAAGAAATATTGAATTAGAATCATTATTAAAAACCAAGACAAATCAAATTAATGAATTAAAATCTCAATTAATTAAATTACAAAAACAAAATCAAGAATTATTTGAAAGAACAAGATATCTTTCATCATATCAAGGTTCAGTTCGTCGTAATAATACTAGTAATAATTCATTTACAAATCAATCAGATCCTGAAAGACAATTAGAACAAAGTTATGAAGAATCATTACATCCATTAGCAAAATTTAGAGCAAGAGAAACAGAACGTATAAATTCTAAATTAGGTACATTGGAGCGAATTTTCTTAAGTTTTGCTAAAGCTATCTTAGCAAATAAAACATCAAGATTATTATTTTTATGTTATTGTTTTGGATTACATTTCTTAGTTATGATTATGAGTATTTATGTTATGAGTTTATATGGTGCTTTAACTCCTGATGTTGGTATTGTTGATAAATCCATGTCTGGTAAAACTCAAGCAATTCCATAATTGGTTGAAGTGGTAATTATACATATGATTTTATGATATTGTGCTGTAGAGCGTAGAGCGTTCTCCGAATATGGGTACTATCCGAGATCTATGATCAACATACGAAAAACTAATATGTGATAAAACCCCATAAATCATAAATCAAATTATTCCATCAGATTAACTCTGTCATTTTAAAATACCATGATATACTACATCTACACTTTCCATTTTCAATGTATTTTACATTTTAATTCCACCTATAAACGTAAACAAAAAAATTTCAAACCACCATAAAGATATATATTATAATTATAATTTCAATAATTTAAAGAAATTTAAGCAGTGATTCTTTTTTGAGTAGCTAATCTAGCTCTTTGTCTGTTGTTTAATCTTGTTGAAACTTCAGTTTTAGCTTTTTCAACAACTTCATCTTGTTCAGTTAAAACTAATTCAATATGAGATGGTTGAGAAGAGTAAGCATTGATTCTACCGTGAGCTCTGTAAGTTCTTCTTCTTTGTTTTGGAGCTTGGTTAACTTGGATATGAGAAACATATAATTTTGATAAATCTAAACCTTTAGCATCGGCATTTGAAGCAGCATTTGTTAATAATTCTTGAACAAATTTAACAGATTTTGCTGGCCATCTAGCTTTGGTAACACCAAATTCTTTACCTTGAGCGGTTCTACCAATTGATGAGTTGTAACGACGGAATGGGATAGCTCTTTCATGTTTTGAAACTTGAGTCAAATATTTTTGAGCTCTTTCTAAATTCCAACCATTAATGGCTTGAGCAGTTTCTCTGGTGTTTTTGAAAGAAACACGTAAGTATGAACCACGAGCTGAAGCTGATTTAGCTGGGTTGGTTGAAGTGGCACCGTAACGAGTCATTATGTTGTTGATGTGTTGAACTTGGACAAACCTTTTATCTAAAGTAAGTGTTAAATAGAATTATATCAAAATAAAACCAGTATACCATTCAACTTTTCCAGAGTGGTGAAAATTTGAAAATTGGTTTAAGGGACACACCGTAGTTAAAAATTTTGAGAAACTGTGTCGCGAATTTCCAAGATCCAAATTTGAGCGAGTCGCGAAAATTGTTTGGTGGGAATCAGTTGGATGACAGAAAACACGGGTTTTTAATGAAAAGTTGGGAATTTGTTTTAGTGGTGTATGGGTGTATGTGATGATAAGCCCTAGTATATTATCATGTGACTACAACGGAAATATCTAGGGCTCATTTTTGCAAACCTCCTTTCGCGAATCTGATTTCAATAATTTGCCTCTCTGAATATCCGATAATTGATTACTTGATTACTTGATATTGAATCATTGATCATTGAACAACTAATCATTGATATTCACATTCAATTACACTTTCCAACACAATGAGATTCAATTCCATAGGATACGCGCTATCCGCTTTAGCATTGGGTGTTACCGCTCTTGATTGTTCTTCAGATCAATTATCTTCATATAGATTAAAAGATTCATTAACTTCAATTTCATCACATTCAATAATATCAGATACTCCACCTTCTAAAACAAATACTACATGGTATTTAAATCTATGTAATCAAAATACTGAACAATTTCAAGAAGATTGTCCCAAAAATTCACAAATTTGTGGTATTACTACAGTTTTATTACCTGGTGAATCACCAATTAAAACTCAAGTTGTTTCAATTCCAAATAATTTAAATTCTAAAATCTTAAGTTCAAATGATTCTGATATTTTAATTAATTTAGATGATTCTAATTGGGGTTCAAATACTATTAAAACTGAATTAAATTTCCATTGTGCAGAACAAGAAGATATTAAAATTCAATGGGATTTAGAAAAGTTAATCATCGATTATATATCACCTTCATCATGTTTAAAAGATAACAAATCAATTCCAGAACCACCAAAAGATGGTAAAGATAAAGATGGTGATAAAGAAAAGAAAAAAGATGATTCATGGGGTTGGTTTACTTGGTTATTTATTATTTTAGTTATTGGATTTGGTGGTTATATAATATTTGGTGCTTGGGTTGCAGCTTCAAAATCTCCTGCTGATTTCCAAGATGCAATGCATGATTTTTTGGAAGCTTTAAAATCATTACCAGGTTTTATAAAAGAAATCTTTGCTAAAGTATTTGGTAATGAAAATAGAGGTGGTTATAGTGCTGTATAGGTTGTTTATATCTACAATTGATTTATAAAAGATTTGCTCATTATGGGTTATTAATATTCATTATATAATGTAGTTATTCTATTATTCCGGACGTTTACCTGACAAGATTGAATTCATACTATCAACGGTTTTCTCTAAACTTGTAGTTAAATAATCTCTTTTAATCTTCATTGCTTTTGTTTGATCAAATATATTTTTTTGATCTTGATTTAATCTATCTTTATATTCATCAATAGATTGACTTAAGAATATTTTACCAACACCTTCCCATACTCTATTTTCATTAGAACCTGATTTTAATTCTTCCTTGGTGATATCAATCAGTTTAGCATCCACTGTTTTACGATCTAATTGTACTTGAACCATTTGTAGTTCAGCTTTATTTTTTTGTAATTGTTGATCCATTTCTATTAGGAGCTAGTAATATACTTGTTAGTTATCCAATTTGAACCTAGGAAAAACATGGATAATACTCACTTTCTGAAGAGCTTCTGGATTGACGGACATGGTAATTTGATTATTGTCTTAAAGGTATATCTATGGGTGAAATGTTTAGTTAATTGATGAATTTGTTGATAAATTTGTTGGTGTTTATATTGAATTTGATTTTGATTTTGATTTTAAATTTCGAGATTGTTTTACATAATCAACAAATCTGGAAAATATTATTATTGTCCATTTATACCCATTAAAACAAACTAGTATTATAAGTACTTCCCACAAAGATCACCAACAAAGATGCTTCTTTATCGTTCAATCCCATTCCCAAATGGTCTCGTGTCAAGAGCCATTCGTTCATATGCCACCATCTCAAAGCCTCAACAATATTCAACACCACAATTAGAAGATAATAATCAAACTGAATCAAATCGTCTTTCAAAAACATTAACTAAATTTTGGTCTCAAGTTTCTATAGAATCAAATGAAAACCATCATGCAATTAAATTAGATAATAAAACTATAAGAACTCCATTAGGAAATTTCTTGGAAATCCCAACCAATAGATCAATTTTGGCTCATTTATTACATCATGAATGGTCATCATTATCAAATTTATCAATCAAGACTCATAATTTACCATTAACTTCCCTTGTTGCTCGTGTTATTGATTTAGAACATGCTAACTTAACTAAGAATGAAGAATTACAAGCAAAAGTTGGTATTAGAGAAGATATAATTGAAGATTTATTAAGATATTTTGATACTGATACTTTATTAGTTTTCGCTCCACAAGCTGAATATGAAGGTAAATTAAGATCAAAACAAGAAGAATTATATAGACCTATTATATCTCAAATTGAAAAATTATTAGAAATTGAATCAGGTTCAATTAATTGGTTAGATACAGATGTTGGTTTAAGAGGTAATCAACAATCTGAAAATGTGAGATCAAAAGCAAGATCATGGTTATTAAATTTAGATTTTTGGGATTTAGTTGCATTAGAAAAAGTTACACTAAGTGCAAAATCATTAATTTGTGGTATTTTAACTTTAAGAGCTAAAAGTCATGGTGAAGAAATTGTAAATTTAGAAAAAATTGCAGAATGTGCTACTTTAGAAGTTGGATTCCAAACTGAAAAATGGGGGGAAGTTGAAGATACTCATGATGTTGATTATCAAGATATTAGAAGAAATATTAATAGTGCAGGAATTATATCATTTAGACAAGAATAAAGTGGTCCTTGATATTAATACAAAGAAAATCATGTAAATAATTAATTTTATGTATATTCATTTAAATCATTTTATAATATATATGTTACTTTTTAAAATACAATTCTATAGCAATGCATAAATGCCTTTTTAGTTCTTATTTCTTATTCTTATTATTGTCTATTGTCTAGTTTATCATTATATCAACATTTCATAAATTTCTTGACATTCATCAGAATTTCTAAATTCAATTAAATAATTTAATTCATCACCTAAATCATTTAAACAATTAAATTTTAATCCAGATTTACCTAATCTTTCACAATTTGAATTTTTAACAATTGAATCAATTTTAAATTTATTTGTTAATAAAATTTCAAACTTGGAAAAAAATGGATTTCCTAAATTACTTGAAATATTAAATTTCCCAATTGATAAAGGTCTCCATTCTTCATCTTCATCTAATTTATGTAATTTAATTTTAACATCACTTTTCAATAATAAAGTTTGACAAGGAATTGAAGTTTTTGTTGAACCTAAACTTGATGAAGATCCAAATTTTTGTTTCATAATGCCTCCAGCACCACCACCAAGGGCCTTTGGTTTTCCTAATTCTTGAATTTCATCAACACTAACAGAACTCATACTTGTTGAATTTGAAGGAGCACTGAAAACATCAGAATTTGAAGCACTTAATTTTTCCACCACAGGATTTTCAAATTCTAATAAAATTTGCTTTAAAGTATAAATATCTTTACATCTAATATTTAACATGATTTTATTTGTTTCTTCAATATTATTAAAACATTTTAATTGAATATCTAATGCACTTGATTGAACAATGGAAGAACCATCAATTGGGATCATTAATTTTGGAAAAATTGATGAATTAACATATAATGTCATAATCTTGGTTCCTGTTGAAGTGGAAATGAATTTTAAAGTATTATTATATTCTTCACCAATACAACACCATTGTGTAATATTCCATTTTGATACAATAGTATTATTTTTAAAAATTTTTAAAATTTTCGATGATGATAATGTTGATTCTTCTAATGGAGTTAATGAAATTTCTTTAATGTTTGATGATTTACCAAATGGTGATGGTAAACTTGAATCTAAAGTTTGTGATGATGTAGAAATTGTTAAATTTTTAATGTTTTTCTGTAATGATGCCATTGATTGTTTTGGTTGGGATACATTATTTTCATTTAATGTTGATGATGATGTTGATGATGATGTTCTTGGTGTCAAATTTGTTGATGATTGAGATTGAGATTGAGATTTAGGATTAACAATTTCAAATTCAGGTTCATTCTTAGATTTAAATAAATTAAACAGGGATTTTCTTTTTTTCAAAGGTTTAAAATTTGGTTTGATATTATCAAATTTTGATAAATCAATTGATGAACCACTCAATTTATCATTTAAATTTAATGATTCTAATTTATTTGTATTTGGGAAATTTGGTAATGAAATTGTTGAATTATTTTCTAAATTTTCCAAATTTCCTAATTTTAATTTTGTTGTTGCATTTGATTTTTTAATGTTTAATGGTAATACTGGAGATTCTGAACCTAATCTATCCTTAGTTTCATCTTCATAATTTTGAATATTTAAATCTTTTGTTGATAATGGTTTATTATTTAATTCCATTTCAACTTCATTTTGGAAAAATAATTCAATGTTATCTAATGCATTTATGGATTCAGATTTCCCAATATTTAAAGAAGGATGTCTTGAAATCATTGGTGAAGATTTTCTTAAATTTGATTTTGGAGAATCTAATTTAAAACCTAATCCAATATTCCCCATTTTTAAATTTTCTAAATTTTCAAATTTATTAATAAATTTTGAATCTAAATCAAGATTAAAATAATTTTCAAAAATTTGATTCCATGATTGATTATAATCTTTATCAAATTTAAATTTTAATTCCATTTCATCATTATATAAATGAACCAAATCATCATTTGAAATGATTTCAAATTCATTTTGTTGTAATATTGGAAACATCAATGATCTACCTTTGGTTTCTATAGAACATAATGCAATCCCTTTATCTAATTGAATCAATTCAATTAATTGATTAGATATTGTTGTTTGAGGGTGTATAAGATCAAATTTAACGAAAATTCTATTAATTATTTGATTTATATGAAAATATGAACATGATGGTTTTGGTGTTGATGATAGGGAATAAACTTTATTGAAAAAGAAAATTGATTGGTCTAATTTTTGATTTTCTGATTTAATCTTGAGTTGTGATGAATTTATTAAATTTTGATAATTTTGTAGTAATTTATAATTATTTGATTCATTTAATCCCATAATTTTCTGGATAAATTCTTTTAATTGAATTATTCTAATCATTGGACATTTTTTCAAATCCAATTCTAAATCTAATTCATCTTTTGTTATTTTATAGTTCTTAATATAATTATCATAAACTAATATAGATTCTTCACACCAATTCATAAACTTTCCAACTTGATAATCATCTTGATAATCCAAAATTCTTGTTAATTCAGTATGAATAGCAATTAATTTACGTATAGAATTAGTTAATTCATTACCAGCCCTTTGTCTAAGTAGTGAACAACAAGCTAATAACTTGGATAATTGATCTCTATATTTAATTTCTGAATTTTTTAAATCATATAATAAATTTGATATTGGATTTGAATAAAATAATAATTCTGTTGTTGGTGATTTTAGAGGTAGGTCTAATGAATTGTATAGTGACATTATTGAAATCTTTGTCCTAATATCAATAAATATCTCAGACTTGAAGTTTAATAAATTGAAAAGTAAAATATAATTTGAACCAAAAAACCATCAACCATCAAGAACCACCAAGAACCACCAAAATCTAGCCCTTTGAATTTGCAACCTCGCGTATACCAAGTGCAACCACTTATACTATATCTCAGACAACCAATTTATCCAACACTGTTCATCTCATCAAATTATTTGTTTCCTTGCATAATTTCACTCCTTTAAAATCCTTTTTGTTTTGATTTTAATGTTTATGTTCCTGTGACACGGTAGAAATTAAAAAAAAATAAAAAAAATTAACGTGTTTTAAATTTTTCGCGTTTTATTTTGTGTGATTATGTAATTGATGTGTAATCACTATAAACTATGACAATTTACATTATTTCTCTTTAAAACATATAAATTCATCTATACAATATACACTGTTGTTCTCCTAATTATAGCTAAATGGTATCTATTTAACCAATTTCTTTTTTGATGCTTGATCAATTAAACTCTTAACATTTGATAATTTTGATCTCCAATCTAATAATAAAGATTTAATTTCCAACCAATCATTTAGTTCAATAGTTTTTAAAATTAAATTAACTTTATAAACTTGGAAATTTGAGTTAATTTGAGATAATTTACCTTGGATTATACCAGTTTTAATGGCATTAATTAAGAAAATTTCAACTTGATTTTCTGGGATTAATAAATCTGATGAAATTTGAGAGTATGAAATTGTTGATGTTGTTGATGCAATTTTACATAAGTTCAAGTATTGATTTTTGGTTAAAACTAATTTAAAATCAATTTCTGAAAGTGAGGAATATTCATCAATTGATTTTTGGAAATCTTGAGTTGTGAAATTTAAATAATTTTGTAAAAATTTTAAATGATTTTGTGAAGATTCATGATTTGCTATTATAACTTCTTCAGTTAAAATTTTTGATAAATCTAATGCCTTGTTGGAATTTAAATTTGCAATTATGAATTGATTAATTAAATCTGATGAAACATTTGGGATTTTGGTGATTGAAATTTTAAAAACATTTAAAGATGATAATTCATCATATGGTTTAATTAATTTTGAAATCTTTAACAAGATTGATCTTGTTTCTTCTTGAATTTCTGATGGTTGTTGATTAATATCATTTGTTAACCAAGATTCTAAATTTGAAATTATTGGTAATAAAATTTCTCCATTACCTAAAATTTCAATTAATTTTAAAATTTCCCCCAAGATGAAATTTTTAAATGGGAAATTATCACCATTAATTTGTAAATTGAAAATATTTGATAAATTTGAAATAATTGATGTAATTTTCAATGTTGCCTTCTTGTTTTTGGTAATTTTTAAATCAGAATTATTTAATTCAAATTTTTCAAATAATGAACCAAAAAAATCAATAACTAATTTTTCAAAATCATTATTAAAAGTCAAGATATAAACAGCTAAATTAATTAATCCTTCAAGATCTCTATCAGGTATGTTTGTTAAATATTGATATGATTCCACAATTTCTTTATAAATATCATCATTAAATTGTAATTCTTCTTCTTCATCATCTTGATCATCTTGTTCATCATTTGTTATAATAAAAGATTCAATTTTAGAGGTATAGTTTAAATCCTTGTTGTATAGATCCAATACAGAAGCGTATTCTAGGATTGAGTCAGCAAGAGACCCATCCACAGTGATATAAGATTGAGTCATTGTTGTGTTTGATGATCAATATAATCAAGTGTAACACTCAAATGTTCAACTTCAACTTTTTCATTGAAGTAAAGAAAAAAATTTGTGATTTCGTGGTGTTGGAAAGTAGGGTAAATTATGTGGGAATGGACTAGACAACTTTATATTTAATGATAAAATAGATTTAATGGATATATTATTAGTTATGTATTAATCTAGTGTGCTTGATTGACTTTGTGGTGTGTATTTTATATGTTGTTGTGTTGATATTGTGTTAATATTGAGTATTTTACCATTACTATTCAACTATATGAAAATTAATAAATTTATACTATACATGAAAAATAAAATATTAATGAAGAATCAGTGCAATACAATCAACACAAAGAACTATAAGAACTAATACACTAATACACTAGACTATCAATATACTATAATATCACTACCAATATCATCAACTAATAACTAACAATATCAATAATCAAATACTAATATACCACAATATGTCCACACCATCTGCTATATACTCAAACCCATCCACTACAAAACATTTCACAATAAACAAAACAGACAAACATACAACAAATGGGAAAACAACAGGTCCAAGTCAATTTGTATTGGATGCAGGTATAATAGATAAAGATCAACCTTCAACCCCAAATCAAACTTATTTAGGTGATTTAAGATCTCAAGTTACAACATTACAAGATGATTTAAATGAATTCTTAACAGAACGTATGCAAAGGGAAAATAGTATTGGGAAGGAAGAAGAATGGGAAAAGACATTGTTGGATGGTGGAGAGTAATTAACTAATAAATATATCTATTACTATATTATATCTATTAGTATTCTATTCTTTTGTAGTTTTATTAGTTATTATAGTATTATACCAAATATCCAAAAGAGGTAATGGTTATGTATACACTGCGTTTTTTTGATCCATTGGAATTTTAAAATTTCAACGTTTTCTATAAAAGTAAAAATAAACATTTGATTTAAACGTTATTGAATTAGGTGTCATTCATAAGTACAATTGCCCATCATGCAATTTGCTTATAATAATAAATTCAAACCAACCAAGAATGATTTCCAATCAAAGTTGAAAAAAAATTTAGGTAAAATTTCATTTATTATAACCCTGGTATTTGTTTTCCTATTAATAATTTACAAAACAACATTATCATATTCTTCAAATTCAATAAAATCTATATATCCCAAATATCATAGTTTTTACAAAAATGATATTCCAACTAAATCATCATTAATTTTCCCAAGTGTGGAACATGCTCCATTATTAAGAGAATTAACTATTGATAAATTATTTAATACTCAATTAGATCAAGCTGGTAATAAAAAATATTTATTTTCAGATTCTTTTGATGATGAAACAACAAAACAAAAAAATGAAGAAGATTCATCAAATCAAATGCTTAAAGTTAAAAATTCATTCCTTAATCATGGGAAATTAAAATTTAATGGCCCCGAGACACCAGAAATTATAATTGTAACAGGTATAGATTTTGAAAAATATGAATTAAGTCATCTAACAAAAATTGTTCAAAATAGAGTTAATTATTCACAAAAAAAAGGGTATGGTTTATATATAAATTGGATTCAACAATATACTCCATTATTAAAAGATACTGGATCTTCAAAAGAATGGGCAAAATTATTTTTATTAAGATCTGCTCAATATGCTTTCCCAAATGCAAAATATTTTTGGTATTTAGATGAAGATGCCTTGATTATGAGATATGATATTGATTTATATAAATACTTGTTGGATCCAAAAGTTCTTGATCCAATAATGTTAAGAAATCAACCAATAATACCACCAAATGGTGTTATTCATACTTTTAAAAACACAAAGGCAGAAAATGTTCAATTAATTATAACTCAATCATCATCAGATTTAAACTTAAATTCATTTATAATTAAAAATGAATTCATTTCCAAAAGCTTGCTTGAATTCTGGTCAGATACTTTATTTAGAACTTATCATAATTTTCCAAAAAATGGTGAAAGTGCATTAACTCATATTTTACAATGGCATCCTATTTACCTTGCGAGAACTGCAATTATCCCACCAAGAACTATTGCTGGATTACATACTCAAATGGAATTACCTGAAGGTGGTGATGAATTTCATTATTCTGAGGGAGATTTTGTTGTTAGTTTAAGAGATTGTTCAATTAGAAAAAGTTGTGAAAGTGAAATTGATTTATATTGGTCAAAATTGGAAGGTAAATAAATGATTTAGCGATTAGCGATTAGCTAAATTATTTATTGATAGTTTTGATTTAGCATAAACAAAAGGTTAGCTATAAAATAGACAAATTAATAGTTTATATAAGTTTTATTGATTACAAAAAGAATGTAGTTATTACGTATCAATTATTAAGAACAACAAAAGTAAGTTCATATATTATAATATATCTTTTACTTTTGAAATGATTTGTTTCAACAAATACTCAATCAATCAATATGATATATGATCTGATATGAAAGTAATGTAAACTATATCAGGTACTAGTCGAAATTCAAATCTAGAAAAAGGTCCTAAGAACTTCTAATTTAAATCAAGTGGTTTCAAAAGTTGAATTAAAAGATGAATTCATATTTAACAAAAAACAAACCCTCAATATTCATATGTTGAATATTTATCTGTTGGGTATCACCATATGGCCCTCAAATGAAGTTCATTCCACTGCTCTACCTCATAACTGAAAAAACAATATATACTAGATAAAATTAATTTAAAATTGATCAAGGGTGATTTTGATCTCTTTATATTATAATAAAATTTATTCGGTGCAGGTTGTTTTTGTAAACAATATTTATATTCAACACAGCGGCTAATTTTATATAAACTAAGTGAATTATATTACAAGTAGATCAAGGAATATTAATTATATCAAGGTGCTTCAAATTAGAATTAAATGTAGTCAGTTTTATACTATAGACAGATATGTTAATTTATATAAAATTATATAAATCAACTTCATCAAGAGAATGTAGCCATATTTATAGCGTATATTTACATGTCAAGTTTTAAAATGAAACAAAGTAAGTTGTACATTAAAATTATACGTATACTTTGTGATATCTATTTGATTAAAACAATACTCAATCAATATTATTATATTCGATATGATAGAAAGCAATGCATTCAAATTAAATTCTTTTTATTTGATGATCTCAAACAATAATTTAGATCTGAGCTTTTGATCAAAAGAATGATTATAAAAACCTAAAATGTAATGAAGTATACAACTCATTTACTTGTTGACGGGACGTATAACATATTAGAGAACGGTTAACCAAGTCCATTAATGCAAGAAATTTAAAGTATAAAGAAAATATGGAAAAACAGGATCTTTTAATCTCTTTATATATGATTGTTCGCGGCGGTGTAAACAATAATATAAGATCAGCGGTTAATTTAAGTATAAACCTACAAATGGAAAAGAAAAGAATAATTATTCAAAGCTAAGTAAGCTGAGAAATTGATAGATTCAATTGAAACTACGATTGTTCTGTTAGAAAGAGGTACGTGAATGTGAAATTGATTTATGTATTTGGTGATCAAAATTGAAAGGAAACTAAATAGATTAATAGCTACAAGGTTAATTTAGCGGTTAAGCAAAAAGGTTAGCTATATTAAGTGGACAAATTGAAATATTTCGACGTCTAAATATAAGCTTTTAATTTATCACATGAAAAGTGTATAGTTAGTACATCAATATTATTTTAAAAACAACAAAAGTAAGTTCATATATAATATACTTTTACTTTTGGAATGATATGTTTCAACAAATACGTTCAATCAATCAATATGATATGATCTGATATGAAAGTAATGTAAACTATATCAAGCTATATCTATCAATATCAAAAAGCTGTAATTGAAATTGGAAAATTTTTATCTAATAAAAGTCAGTACAGGTACGTCAATAAGCTATCTATGGTTTATTTGAAATTTGAACGATGTTATACCACAACAAATTAAAGAACAAGTATCACTAAAAAATTTAATATATAATAGAAAGAATTTGGTAAACTTAAGAAATTCAAAAGGGATTTTAATCTCTTTATATAATAATTCATTCTGTGATTGTTTTTGTGAATAATCCAACACAGCGGCTAATTTTGTAAACTAGCTTTGAATTATGAGAAGATCAAGGAA